ACCGAACTCCTTATAACATTTACAGAGACCCAACAGAATATAAATCCTGTTAAACCCTTACAGGTCCTGTTCAATAGCTTGTTCAAGGAGAAGAAATAAAAGCTAAAGATAAACATTCAAAGTAATGAAACTACAACTACAACTTACTGCCAGATATTTCACATATTTTCTATGTGTATAGGTATTTAAAGGTCCAGTGTGTAACATTTAGGAGGATCTATTAGCAGACATTTAATAAAATATTCACAGGAATGTTTTCATTAGTGTATAATCACCTGAATCGTCATGTTTTTATTACCTTTGTTGTTCTACAGTAGCCCTGAATGGACAAACTAAACACTGACTTGAGATACTGGCTCATTTTCCATTTTTTTCCTACACGCTAGGAAGGGGAGTGAAGTAAGGGAGTTGCAATCTGCAACTAAATCCTACACACTGGTCCTTTTAAATGTGTTGTAGATATTTGTTAAGACTCTAAACTCGTCACTATTTTTCCAACGTGAAACCAGATCTGTTAAAAAATACTCTTGTCATACCACATTGTTCACTGCAGGAATGGTTTCAGTTCATATCTCGGTAATGAATCTGAGAGTTTTTTATTTAAGAAAGGGGTGATCTGCATTTTACCATCAGTGATGTGATCTTCTGATTGAGTGAATAGTGTTTTTCTTTAGGTTTCATCAGATGAACTGAAATGAAAGAGGAAGCATCATGATACTAACAGTATTTTGTTTCATATCAGGACATGGGAGACTCTGTGTACACTCTGGAGATTCCCTTCCATGGAAAGACTTTCATTCTTAAGGTACAGCAGCCCTTTGTGTATTCATTGTGAAACTGTGTCTCACCAAAACATATGTTCCAGTAGTGACCCACAATAATAGTGTTTATTCCTCATGGTTAGACTTGTTATACAGTAACTGATGTTTGAGACATTTTACATGAATATTTTAATCCATTATCAATATTAGCGGAGATGTGTTTTTTCAAGCTGTTTGATGCAGCTTAAAAAACAGTTCTCAGTCTCTTTGTTATTTTCTGTTTAGGACAGATTCTGACCTGTTCTCCAGTGTTGTTGCTCTAACAGTAAAGAGTAGGCCAGGCTGTATATTAGTGCAGCTTTCACAATCAGTCCAAACTGAATTAAGTACACTTTGCTGCACATATGTATTTGAACAACCTCTAAAGGGCACAGTGGTGAAATAATTGAGACTAATGGGGTGTTAAATTTAATCTGATATAAACAGACCTCCTGGTGCTGTTCCACTAGCTTCAGAGCAAGTCACGCTGCAATGGAGTTCCTTTAGCCAGCGTGTGTAATTTCCCAGACAGGAAGTCTGCTGTTTACGGGAGGCTGTGTATCAGAAGGTTGTTTGAGACACTGTGTTTTCCACAGATTACAGCTGTGACTTGTTTTTACCTTAAATGATGATCAAGGCCGGGGTCACAACCAACACAGCCACAGATTTATTTACTTTTGGACGTGCTAATGCTAATTAAATGGCCTGTGTGTTAAGTTATTGATCAGCTTGACTTACAGGCTTATTTTAGTGATTGTAGAATGTATTTATGGTTTGTTTCTTCCATTGTTGAACAGCAGGCACCTAACACATACAAATATTAATGAGAGAGTTTTCTACATTTCTCCTAAGTGTATAACGAACTTGGCCCGTGTTAGTCTTAACATGCTTGTAATTTACATATATGACACTTGGCTACTTGATGTAATTAGTTTCTGCAACTATTCTTCTGACTAAATAAGTGAAACAGCTAATAACACACACAACTCTGTGAAGAGCATGAACACACAGTCTTTCTCTTTGGTTATTGTAGCCAGTAGGAGCTAGCTGGTTAACTGGGAAACTTTAACTTACATTATTAATTTGAATTTTACTCTGATGCCTTTTAAACTTTGGTGAGTATGATTGCATACAGTTTGTCTTTGTCCTGTTTGTATGTAAATCACAGTATTACGCAAGCATTGAAATAACTGTCCCAAGATCATCCATTGTACAGCATGTCTTGTTGTAACACTGATGGGATTTTCCAGCACGAGAATGATTGTAAACACACAAATGCTGGTAACCATTACTGACTAAAATTAGGCTTTTTAGAGTTCCGTAGCGCTGACCTTTACCTCAGGACATCATGTGAACAACACAGAAATGATTGCCCCAGAAAACCAACACATGTGTTAAGCCGTATGTCTTGTGGATTTGACCCACAGCTGTTGACAGTGCATTAAAGTGCAGTATTGTTTTTGTTCAGGCCTTTATGCAGTGTCCAGCTGAGCTTGTGTATCAGGAGGTGATTCTGCAACCAGAGAAGATGGTCCAGTGGAATAAAACTGTTTCCGCCTGCCAGGTGATAACTTCGACATATTTTTACTTTTCTTCTTGCGTTTCTTTTCATTTTTCTGTGTTTAGTTATTTTGTATGGAAGTCTGAACAGTGTGTTCTGCCTTTTCAGATCCTTCAGAGGGTTGATGACAACACTATGGTCTCATATGATGTCTCCTCAGGAGCAGCAGGAGGAGTTGTGTCAGCGAGGTACATCAGCAACGCATACAGCAGGCTTCTTTTGCTTTCTCATATCTGTCATCTTTTCTTCGTATTTTGTGTCTTTTTATCTTATTCTCATGCGAACTGCAGGTCTGAAATGAAGTAAATTGATGGACTGATTGATTTTTCTCCCTTTAGGGACTTTGTTAATGTTCGGCGGGTGGAACGCAAACGAGACTGCTACCTGTCTGCTGGCATGGCAACCGACCACGAAGCCAAACCTCCAAGCGGTCGCTACGTCAGGTCAGACCATGCCTCTAGCCGGCTCCTTGTCACTGATCCAGTAAATTAAGAGCATGGTATCGATTTGATAAAAGTGCAGTGGTGTTAGTTTTATTTCTTGAACTTCTCTGTCTTCTCTTCTACCTTTATTGCTGGCCTCAGGGGAGAGAACGGTCCAGGAGGATTTGTGGTCCTCAAATCAAGCAGTAACCCGTCCGTCTGCACCTTTATTTGGGTGCTCAACACAGACTTAAAGGTAAGAACATGCACACAGCTAGTATTCCACCATTTTCTGTTATTTGAGGCAAGATGGGATGGTCTTCATCTTAAAGAGAGATTTTGAATTCAAATTGCCTATTTAGAAAAGGGGCTGTCGCAGCAGCAAAAAGTGAAAAATAGAGCAAATTGGAGGTTTTAAACATGACTCACTCTGTAATTATGCTAGAATCCATTAATAGAAATGCAAAAGTAGGAACACTTGAATTACAGAACACACTGAAACCAAAAACAACTTGGAAAAAGGAAAAATATATAAACAAGACTAAGAGCCTACAGCCATGCTAGCGACTGTGAGGCTGTACTGTTGCGCTAAATGCTAACATCAGCATGCTACAATGTTCACAATGACAAAGCTAACATGCTGCTAAGGTGCAACGTTTGCCATGTTTACCATCTTAGTTTAGAGTGTTAGCATGATAACTTCTGCTAATTTGCACTAAACACAAAGTACAGCTGAGGATTAATCTCTGGAAACTTTGAGTGTACATAAAGTGACAGCAGTGCATCAATACAGCTGTTGGGATATTGCAATCTGGATCAGTGTGGTGGACCGACAGTCCAGCATTGCCACCCATAGAGTTATGCTGGAAACATGATTAAGGGCAACATGCATGCGAAAATAAACAAAAATCAATACAAAAAATAAAAAAGTAAAATTTACTTTTTGTTTCATCAGGGCCGACTGCCCCGCTACCTCATCCACCAGAGTCTGGCCGCCACCATGTTTGAATTCATGTCCCATTTACGCCAACGGATCGCTGAGCTGCGGCCCTCTCTTCGCTCACACCACCACACTTAAAACAGGAGAGGAGAAACTGTGCACAGCTGGCTGAGAGGTGTCACTACTGATTTCTTTGAGTGAACCTCGAAAATGGCCGTAGCAGTACCCTTGTGATGCATCGAAGCTGAAGGAATGAGCTACCCTAACTGAGAAGACTGCACTTCTAAGCACAGGACACATGAGACCACACATTTGCCACATTTCACTCACAGGAGAAGAGGAGGAGTAATTCGAAATCGAAGACGATTTTCCTCCTCATCCTTACACTTCAATGTTGTTTTTGAAGCGTGATCACATCCAGATTTTTATGTGGACCTGTAATTGTCAGAGTGTCCCCAGTGAGTGTCCCTCACTGTGCAATGAGAACTGTGTTTCATGAACCTGACGAGTCATCTTGTGGCAAGGTGGACATTACTGAAACAAGAGAACCTGGATGAGGATTTAAGTGATTCTCACTGTGTGGGCATCTCTCTGTCTTGTTACAAATTACCTAATGCAATGGCATGAAGCAGCTGTCTCTTTGAGCCTTATCTTACTGCACACATTGTTAGCCTTTGATTTGCTGCTTTTTCTTTTTGTTTGTTCAGTGTGTATGTTTTCACTGCACCTTAAATCTATTTCTCTGGTGCATCCGCCCTAAAACAAATAGACAACACTTAATTTAAATGGGTAAAAGTTATTTCCACACAGTTTATTCTCCTTTACTACACTGTGATCGATGGAGAAAGAAGTCAGTCGCTGTCTGATCAACACAAGAGGGAGATACCACTGATCCACATAGTGAAAGTTCCTTGGTTTTACACAATCCCCAATCCCAGGGTGCAAACATATATCCGCTAACATTTAATCATTACTATTACTGTAAGTTTTTAATACTGCTTTTGTTTTGCACTTTGGGATTGGCCAGGAGCTCAGATCAGGACGCTGATGTATTATCAAGCTCAGCTCAGACAAATGATGATAATGTTTATAATTTAGGATGCTGTATACCTCCTAAAGTTATTCTTGGTGCCAATAACCTCAAGTGGCCTTGTGGTAAAATAGCTGAACTCATTATTTGTCATCATTATTACTGTACTGTAACTATGATTTCCATTGAATTTAGTACTGGCGTCCCCTCAGGCACCAAGATGTGGCAATGATCAAGGTTGATCATTTCTTGCATCATAGAGCATTATATTGTTTTTAATTATTTAGAAATGTTTCTTCTAGCTTGTTGAGTTTTAGTTTTGTTTTCAAAGACTGCGCCTCAGAAAAGACATGTTATCATTGCATATGTAAGGAAAACTGGCAACAGACCATGTTCTTCCTTCTGCCTTTCAATTTTGATAAATAAAGCAACAACAACTTTGTTGGGTTGTTCACACTTTGAAGGAGCATTTTTAAGGGTGTTACTGTGGTGTTTTGACAATGATGTGGTCATTTACCACATCATAGTCAGAACAGAGCCACAAGGGCTTGAGGCATTTTACTTAAGTCAACATCAATCAATCAACATCAATTAGTAATTGCAACATCTACACATACCTGATGTGTGGATGTTGCAATTACAGTCTGATATTATTCCTTCTTAGTCCAAAAACAAGTGAATATTGAGATTTAACTGGATAATTTGTCAGGGTTGATTTTAGCTATGTACTGTACAGAGAGAAAGTCAAATTAATTAATGATATTAACAATTTGGTGCCTTTATCACAGTAACATTACATGTCAACCTTTTCTTTTGCTTTGCATTTATTGTATGCTGTAAACTCAATGCTTAATACCTTAAGCAAAGGTATACTGTATGCATATGCAGCCTGCCTGAATACTTAAGTTTCTGTTTTTGAATCTATGTGTCTATGGATCATTCATCAAACTTGTTAATTTAAGCCATCAAAGGAATACTGACCAACAGTTTTTGAGTCTTAACCAGTGTCTTATGTCTAATAAAATGTATGAACTCATGACCGTGTTCCACTTCAAAAACCTCATTGAACTTTATATTAACAAAACAAGTTGTTAATATAAACATCTTGCTTTATTTATTTTGTATCCTGTATATCCTATTGGTGTGGATGTATTTCCTAACAGTCTGGTAATAATCTACATAATGATACAGATGTTTTCATTGTTCCCACACTGACTACATTAGACCAGGTGATACTGAATGACTTGCTTAATGAGTTATCACGGTAGATTCTACCCACATATTTTCCATCAATGGAGCCTGGGGGTGTTTATGTCAGGAACCATTATACCCTGTGACTTGAGCCTATGTCACGTGACAGCGTTGTAAAAAGGCCACAGCTAAACTCTCTGGAATTAGGCTGGCTTCTGGATGCCGAGTCACCCTTCACGTCATGGTCGTTATTATCCCATAGCCTCACAATGTTCACAGTGCTTTACCAAAATTCAGATTTATTTTCTGACCAACATTTCAAAAATGAGATAATCCATGGACATGAAGCCATCTGAATTATTTAGAAATTTAAAGCAGCCCATTCAGTGATTCTTATTGAACCACATTAATACAGATTGATAGTTAAGTAAGATCAGTAACCACACACAATTAATTTAAATAATCCTTGAATCAATACAGCCATGGTAGATTGGATACAGAGTGTGTAATCAGACCTACTGTTGAAGAGAAGATGTATTGTCCTGGGGGCAAAACACAATGCTAAGGCCAAGCGATGGAGCAGCTCACATGATTGTGCTGTGACTGTCTTCTGAGGCTATGGGTGTGTGAATATGTGGTGTTTTTTTTAACTGATGAGAGAGCAAGCATCTCACTGCTCTCATTGTCCTCCATTTAAGGCTGATGAGAAGAGCCGGTCCTTGTGCTGCCATCTGCCTGAGCTACTCTACCCAGACAGGCTCTGGCCAGTGATCTGGAGGACAGACCTCTACTCGATGTGGAGCAGGGTGCTGAAAAATGGGAAGCAGAAAATTAGGTAGAGTTTGGGGATCAGTGTTTTGTAACTTTTTTTGACCTGTTGTTCTTTCTGATCATTTTTGCCAGATGCTCTTCCTCTGACAGTGACACCAGATTAATAAGATTCATTCTAGTGGACCACATAAATGTTGTGACTGCTGCCTTTTCATACTTTGCCAAATCTTTTTTTTTTTTTAAACATAGGCTGTGAATAAGGTCCTCTGTCTAAGGAAACTCTACAGAGCATCTACAGGGACAGCGGCATTGTGGAGTTAAAGAAAACAAGCGGAGTTCATACATATCAGACGAGACTCGCCACTGGAATCCACCTCACTGTTGCTTGAAGAACCAAAGAAGTTGTTCTGACTTTCAAAGAACTGAAACACAGCTTCCATCTGGATTATCTGCCATTGTGAATACCTATTGACTCTGTTTGTAACAGATGGGTTCGGCCTTTAAGAGGTTCTGCATGCAGTTCTGCTGCTGCTGCTGCTGTGCTGGTGACGAAGACGATGAAGATGAAAAGCAGCCTTTAGTACCGTAAGAAGACATTAGACAGGCCAGAAACAGAAAAGTTCTTCACCACATACCACTTTAATACATGTTTTCTCATCATCCACTTATCAGCTACACTCATGACCTAGAAAAGAATATAAGACACCAAAAATATATTTTATAGTGTCAGTAAGTGACTTCTCTGTGTCACAGCTGATAAATGATATACAATCACTGTATTAATGTGTCATAACTGTGCTTCTGGGTGCTTGTGTGTGTCTCTCCACAGTCAGGATCCGTTGGAGTACTTTAACCGGGAAGTCCAGAAGCGCCGTGATGAGGAGACCAACCTATGGAGTACGCCAGGAGACCCCAGCCACTCGGAGAGAGAAGATGACCGGGTCCTTCACAGCCTGCTGCAGGCCAGGAACAAGACCCGCATGGGATCCTCGGTATGTGAGGGAGGGTGGACACAGAATAGACTCTCAAGGCTTCATTCAGTCATGATGACCTAGTTAAAAGAAGCAAATAATAACTTTCTCAGTTGTAGAAAAGAACTCTAGCTCTCTATACTGTAGATTGGAATAACAGTAAAGAGCCTATGAATACAATAGCCATTGCCATGCATTCTCTCTTTGGGCTAATTAAATAATTGTGAAATAAAAATATTCCTCATTTTTCTGGGGACCCTTTTAATGCTCTTAAGAGATGCTAGGTGATGGTAAGTTTTAAAAGCTTTGTCCTTTTCTTGTTTAGGGCTATCGCCGTCTGAGTGTTGACATTGAGGCCATGAGAGATACCCGCCGAGAAGTCAGAGACAAATGGCAGACAATCCTGGAGAATTTAGGTAACGCTGGAAAGATGAGATGTGGGACAGACTGTCACTTCTTAATACATACAGAGTAAGAAAATGGCTTCTTTTCTAGGTTTCATGGCCGAGGCAGAGTCGCTGCTGACAGTGTCTGCTGGAGCCTCACATGACCGCATGCGTAACGCCCCAGCAGCACGTGCCATGCTTAACATGCTCCACTCTGAGACCTCCATCTTCAACGCCAGAGAACCACCACCGGAAAGATATCTATTCATCCTGGTGAGAGCAGAGGAAACCGCAGTGATAATGAACTTTGAACTCATACTTAACCTTAAAGTGAGAGCATCTTTGCTATGACCTTTGCTATGATGAGTCTATGGTTAACACCCTTGGGGTGGTGTGGGTGTGTTTATTCCATTACTGTTCTCCAGGCCACAACGAGGGGTACTTTCCTTAAACCCTTGCAGAAGTTTTGTCAAGAAGGGGTTGAGTGCCAGTTACTTGTATGGCCATGAATGGTGAATCCTTTGTCAATGTTCACATTTGGGGAGGAGGTACTGGGCTGTACATCAGAGGAAGAAGTCCTTTAAACAGGATGCAATGTAACTGTTATGCCCCTTTACAATTGGTTATAACACTAAGTATAGGGTGAACAGAAGGTTAGGTGTCATTGCACAATTAACTGTCACTTGGTCATGTGGTTAGGGTTGATGTTGCTCAAATTTAGTTGATTGTGATTATCTCTCTGCAGTGATACTTTAAATTGGTGAAAAAATAATCAAGAATGTGGTTTAGATAACAGCCCCAGCTGGACATAAGTTGACATATTCAATCCCTGTGGGCCAGCAGACAACAGTGGCCCTTTAACACCCATATTCCAGCAATAATGACATTTGGTTTTCCCTGCTTCAACCACTTCTCCTTCTTTACTTTTCCTCATAGGATCGTCTCCTGTACCTTGATATCGCTGAAGATTTTGTGGCAAAGGCAAAGCGCTTCTATCCCCCAAGGGATGACTCTGACGAGGAGACCCCGGGTCTTGCCATAAACCTGCCGCTGCTGCTGGCCAGGGTAGAAGCCTTGAACGGAGCAAGCAATATAGAAGATGAGGAAGAGAGTGGAAGAGAAGATGGAAACTTGAGTGACAGATCCTAAGATCTACTGGCTGCAATAATAATAGACACAAGGCAGGGGGCAGTAGTCATCAACCCTGGAGACCTGGATGACAGAATTGCATAGCTCTTACCTTTTAAGTGTCTGCTGCCTCATACAGTGTTGCTGCTGCTTCTTGGAAGTTTTAGCCTGAACATTTTCTTTCTCCCCCAACTGCAAAGCTTGAGTCTTATTCTGTTTTCTCTGGTCAAAAACTAAAAGGGCTTAGCAGATTACCAGGTAAATGTTACAGAGGTGTTAACTCTCTAAAGTATGTTTTTCTACCACAGAGTTTTATCAAGTTCTTACCCTGTTCATTGCTCAGCTGTTGTGAACCTTCAGGGTAGCGATGTTCCTCTGAGTCTCTTTATATTTTGTCCTATGATTATCAGCACTCATCTTCATTCAATCACATGATTTGTAACAACTCTGAATAAATAGCCGAGCAATCTGACATCAGATTTTTCTTAAAGTTTAACAAGAATGTGTGTTTGTATAATTGATACTTTTAACTCATTAAACTCTGCATTTGGCTTGGAAGATTTTGGAAAATAGCAGATGGAAATTCAATGAAGTTGGTACTGTATGTTGAACTTTTAAATTGGTTGTGTGTGTGACTGATGTGACTTTCAGGTGATGCTGTGTGTTTTTTGTCCCTCCAGCAAATTACTGAAAATGTGAAAGATTTCTAAACTCATGTGGCAGTTTGTGTGTGTGTTCTGGTGTCCAGTTCATGATGAAATAAAGCTCCAGCCTCAAGCCTGTTATGTGTACAGCGTCACATGTTGGTTAGCTGCCTCAGGTGAAGTAATAGGAGTTTCCAGCTATTCAAAAATTACACAAATGACAAAGAATAAAAGAATTTTCAACGGCAATCCGAAATTTGAATAGAATTTGCTGCGTGGAATTCAATTGAGCATTGAACAGTGATTCCACGGAAACTGTGGCACGAGAGCAACATTCCTTTGAAGTGAAATACAAGGTCTTCTTCAGTCTGTTCCTATGCACTCACATGGTCGTTGGCTGTGTACCCAAGGCTGGCTTACACTCTGATCTGTAGACATACCACAAATCCTGGCCTGTCTGGTGTCTGATCATACCACTGGGACCAGACCGTGTTGCAAGATGGATGGTGATGATGGTGTTTTGGTGGTCAGCTGCTTCTTCTTGTTGTTGTTATTGTTATGTAAGAGAGGCACTCTGCAGAGGGCACATGTTTGAGCACGGCACCAGCCTGCTGGCACACTGGCAAACACACAAATAGCTGGTTGGTAACACTTGACTCTATGGTGCTAGTATGAAACACTGGAGTCAAGTTGAAGATTGTGTGCAGCAATCAATTGAAAGTTAACTTTCCCTCAGATTCTTTTTACTGCTAAGCAAACACACCGTGTCAGGTTGACCTGTGTGGGAGACTCCTAACTGCCCTCCCAAATTCCTTCCTCTGTCACCAAAAAAAAACTGACTTACTCAAACTTGCACTCTCACAATATTTTGCCTTATTTACCTCCTCCTGACAGGCCCCGGGCTTTATCCTGCAAATGCCCTTCTCCTCCCTCTCTCCCTACCACTCCCCCGTCTCTTTCCCGGTGACAGCTCATTTAAATGTCACTTCCCAGCAGCTGTGGCAGTGTTGTTATGCAACACAAAGTTCTTCCTGGCCGTGCCTGGCGTGATGCAGGTGGAAAGATGAGGACGTAAGGGGGTGATCACTGTGACAGGGCTCACCTCATCACTGTTCACCTTTGCAGACTCTCCACACCCCTGGCTTCATTAGCATAGCATGACTCACCCGAAAACAGCAAAAAGGTGAAAGTCATCCGATGTCCTGTTGGAGTTTCAGCAGATCAATACCTAAATTAGAACAAAAAATACCAATTAAAACCACCACTGGTCAACTACTTCTACTACTCTAGTTTACAATCCTAAGTTGATTCGAAAAAGATATGATCTCAGCACTGAAGGACCTTGCATAGTGACTTACTGGGTTTCGGAAATGGCATTTCATAGTTGCCATGGTGTCATAACATGACCCCAGGGATGCCTACGGTGCTCTTGCTCTCTTTTCTCTCTGTGACACTGAGCAATAATTTACATATGCAACGTCACCCTGCTGAGAAGTAAAAGGAAATTGAAATATTGCTGTACTTGACAGGCAGAAGGAAAATAGCATTTGACTGTTGCATTGGATATATAGGACGTTAGTCAGTGGAAAGGAATGGCAGTCATTTAGAACAGCTATAGATTAAATGTCATGATTTGGCACAGATTTAGCAGATGAGATACAGTACTTTTTTCATTACTACACATAAGGCTAATGAAACACACATGCAAAGACTTTGTGATTGATCAGGCTTCTTGTCAAAAGGATCATGAAACTGTATGAGTGTGTGATATCTGATATCTGTTATCTGATGATATCAGTACCTGATGTGGATGAATGAGTCAGAGACAGGGACCAATCGTAATATCACACCAGCAGACAACTGTCAGAGGTGACTGTGTGTGTGTGTGTGTGTGTGTGTGTGTGTGTGTGTATGTTTCACAGTCTGTAACATGAGTTGATTATGGCTTGCGTGCGCTCTGTCACTGAGGTAATGAATCACTGAGGATGGAGCTCTCACTGCTACTGTGAGGCAGCGCACTGTAATGGCATCTAATGAGGGGGTTTGATGTTATCACAAGGCACAGCTGTTGTTTAAACTCCTTGTGAACTGTATTATGATTTAAAATTCAGCAGGATACTCCATGAAGTTCTCTTGCTTTTCACCTTGTATCTCCAAGTGACAGATGTGTTATTTCTGATCCATACACATTTAACCTCCATGCCTAAAATAAATAATAAAAACAGCTGCATCATTGTTATCTTTCCACATTAGCATGGTCACTTGCTGCTTCGTGTATATCAAGACCAAAAGCTTATTAAGATTCCTCTTTGTAGACTAAACCTGTTGTGTGTGTCTGTCTACATGTTTATATAATCTCCATACAGAGTGTCCCCATGATACTTTCCCTTCTAAGACACAATGATCCCAGCTGAAGTGGAAAGTGTTAGGCTGAGTGATTACAGAGGTGACTGGGCATACAATTTGAGAATCAGGGGATTTTCAGCCCAATTACCCTTAACCCTTCCTCACAGTGGCTTCCAGCTATCTGGGAATGAGACACGGAGCACTTGGTGTCGGATGTCAGTGCACACTGATTGTAGAGTGACAACATGGATCAGAAATAGCAACAGAACATCTATAAAAGTCGTGGACAGACCCGAGTCCAGGCATAGACGGCACAAAGAGAGAGACTGGAAGCCAGGAGATTCAGCCAGCTGGAGCATCACTGTTTCCTTGAACAAACAGCCTCATCACAGGACCTTAAGACTGTTCAACAAGACCCATTGGAGGCGATAAATCTGAGACAGATCGATCTTCCCCACAGCAGAGATGATGCCACTGTGTACCGTCCTCGAGAAGTCTAACGGTGAGGTGGTGGGAGCTGAGCTGACCTGCACTGTACAGGAAGAAAACAAGGCTCAGAAGGAGAGCTACAGCGCTGACTGGCATAGTATCAGTCTCAAGACTCGACCTCAGGACAGGTGAGAGCTCAAGACCAATCAGAAAAAAATATGCTGGTATCCTATATGTGGTCTGTGTCACTACTGAATGAGTGGAAAAAAGTTTCTATTTCTACTAATAACGTCCTGGCTGTGATTTAAGATCTTCCTTACCATCATCAGATATGGGCTGAGATCTACAGGATTTGCTCATTTACTTGGCAACTTTTGGCAGAACTCTTCTCATATTGCAAGGCAGTTATTATCTAATTAAGTAGGTAAATCACAGTGAGTGCTCCTACAGTTTCTAACTTCCACTTTTCTCTAATGCCCGCAGGCAGACAATGAACCTAAATGACAGTTCTCGTAGGGAGACTCTATCCCGGCAATGGCAGGCTCGTTCGCTGATGCAGAACTGCCCCTCCGGTGTGTTCAGAGTGGGCACTGTGGAAAGGGGGGTGAGAGAGCACCAGCTTCTGCCAAAGAGAACCACCCTTCCTTTGCCCATCTTCACCCCTGCAGAGCTGGGTGTCAGGCTTGGACGTGGAGCCCCACACACAGAGGAGGACCTGCAGCCCTTCCCCACCCCAGATGGAGCCTGTCCCAGCAAGAGGACTGTGGACGAGATCACAAGGGACCTCCCCCCGATCAAGCCAACCCTCATGGAGTTCGCCAAAGCACCCAAAGCCCTGGGTCGCTCCATGTCCCAAGAGGCCCAGAGAGGGTGAAAAAAAAAGGAAAAAGGACAAAAAGAGAAAGAGGGAGAGACGAAAAGGGTGACGGTTGGGAAAGGATAGTCATTGAGCAGAGTGTGTCAGGGAAAAGCATGACAAAGTGTACATAGATTTATCTCTGACATCCATCAAAAACCATAAATACTGTAGATCTTTAGCACTGTGTTTCTTGGCGAGCACAGCACCAGGTAAATGTCACGCTTTGTCACTGTTGGTATTTGGTGGTCAGTGGTATTAGAAGTGGTTAAGTGAAGGCATTGTGATGGAGAGGTATGGTGTGCGTTCTCAGCTGTGTCATGGGCTTATCTCTGCCTGTGCTGGCCAGCTGTCCTCATCATATCTGCTGATATCTCAGTGGAATCACTGCTACTCAACTATTGCATACACTGGTGCACAAGCTGCATGCAATTTCTTTTGCCTTCTTTTGTATTGCAAAGTGCAAATATCCTTGTAAGGTAAATAAAAGGGTTCTTGAGGTTATCAGATTCATGGATTGTTTGAATCCATGTAATACGTGGTGAAGGCATGCAATGAAGCAGAAAGTGACAGATGGAAAATGACGGGCAAAGGGAAGATGGAAAGAAAGAGGAAGAGTTAGAGGGATAGGGGAGGGGTGAGGGGTCGGGGAACATGCCTTGGAGTTGGTCAACTTCCAGGCCTCCACAAGCCCTTGACAGTCTCTGATCTCTCTGAAGAGAACAGAATGCACTGGCGTAATCACACTTTGCAGCTGTACATATGTGTGTGTGTGTCCCTCTTTTTGTGTGTGTGCCGGCTGACACCTCCAATCAAGAGGACTTATGAAAACTAATAACCTGTTCTTTACTGTGTATTAACTGATCTGCCTTGCTATTTGAGTGGCAGCTCATATATATATATATCTGATAGAGGAACAGACTGTATTAACTGAGAATACATAGTGATGTAAATGAATTTGAAATGTGTGCAATGATGTTGAAATATTTTTCCTAGATATTTATTATTTTTACTAATAAAAGCTGCTGCTCCTCACTCCTCTGTCACGCATTTCTTCTTTTAGATGCAACATGAACATATTTTGATTACATTAATGGTGGGTGGAAAAGACTTTGTGACACAATAGGGGGTTTGGTGAATCAAACGACTCTAACAGAGAAAATGAAGATAGATTATAAACCTAAGTGAGTAATCAAAGCTTCATATAAACTTGTTTACAAGGATTCTGACAAGGCAGTAACAAGTGAGTTAAGCTGCAAAGGCAGTGTTATAACTCTAATAACACTATCTTGCAGCTTTAGGCAGCTTCATCACTGTATAATACTGTGCAATAGATTAGATTAGACTTTATTGATCCTTGGGGATATTGGGTTGTGGAAAGAACAAAATGGGATACAACAAAGAGAAAATAGGATAATTATCACTACAGCAGTAAGGGATAACAACTTAAACAATTGTATAAAATGAAAATAAATCTTATAGATATGAATGAAAAAAGAAAACAGCAGTAGTCAAACATATTGAGAAAGGAAAAAAATGAAAACATTGAAAGTAACAGATCAAAATGGAAGATAATGCATTTTCCGAGGTGCAGTGATAAAGAAAAGCTGCCAGACAGGCCAAAATAAATAGCTGGGTATCTCTCGTTCCTTATCTGGATACATACATACTATGACAGTGCACTCCACCTTCTGAATAATCCCCACTTTATCACTTTACATCCGTCATTAATCTTTCATGTTCCACCTCCTGTGTTTGCTCTCAACAGAGTGTACTGTTCCCTTGTTAGTGTGCAGAGCTTTAATGGATGCACTGCATCACCTCCTCTTATTCATTTACTCTCTAAATCTACAATGTACTCAGTCTTGTTTGTCAATTATTACTTCTGTGATTAGCTGCCCTTTTCTAATCTCATTCCTCTTCTGAATATATTTTTCTTTTTAACCCCTTCTGACCTGCTGTCCCTCTCTTTCTTTCTCTCTCTCTCTCTCCCTCTCTCGTCACTCTCACTTGTGTCTCCATGATAGACAGCGTGTGGTGGTTGGATATTAATAGCTGGGTAAACATTGGCATTGCCCTGGAGACAGTGGAGCGACAGCCGTATTGGCACGTTCTTCCCATTTGAGCTTTTAATCCTCATGTTTTATAAGAGATTTGGGTGCTGCCTTCACTCCCTATCTTTAAAATTACCCTCCCACACTGTCGAAACCCTGTGCTCCCCACCCTGCACTGTCACAGTACAATCCACTTTTCAAACTCCAAATGAACCTCCAAACCTTAAAACTATTTTCAGTGGATGCCAACGAATGCGGGTATTGAGATGGCGTGTGTTGTCACAGACAAATCTAGTAAATTGACACTGAAATTCTTTCCTATGCCTTAGCTGTCTCTGCTACATGGTGCCCCTCTGTATTATACTGTTTGGCAAACTCAGTCTATCCGCTACTGCGAGCAAGTTAATTCAACCTTAAGAACTGGGTCACACTGTACATTAACTCAACACCTTTCCTTTTACCTGAGTTTAAGCCAGTGAGGAAAACACTCAAATACTTCACCTGTCATTTAAACATATCCAAAATATTTAATTAAATTTGTGAATTACACTGTTTTCATGCACTTTTGATGATAGTATTGCTTTTCTTGTCATCACCTGTAGGGATTGAGTAGTGTGCCTCCTCTTATCCTTCTAAGCAGGGTGCAAACTGCAGGGGAGCCATAAGACAATAGATAATAAGGTAATGACACATTAGCTCCTCTGAAAACATGATTTGTGACTTTTGGGAGGTTCTCAAAACAATATGCTATTTTTGCCATGCATTTATGTTTTTGTCTATCTTTATCATCACAGATCATGCGTAAAATTAGGCTATTAATGTATGTGATTAAGCTATTATTATATGATAGAGGTGCTGACATGAAGTGGGCCTACTAGTTTGAAACTGCTTTTGAGTATTCATCACGGTGTATTTAAAAAACAAGGTCATACAGTGTAACAGAGCAATAGATCTTATGTGCTGTCACACTATGTTGCACACAGTGTAATGACTTACATATTTCAGCACTATAGTATGCAGAGTCCCCGTGAATGCTTGTCAATACAGCAATACATCTTGTATTCCTGTACTTTGTACAGCTTGTGGTCTATTGGCTATCCCACGTAACATCTGTTGCTGCTCCCTGCTGGATAATTTGGGTAAGGTAGGTTGAATGAAATTAGAGTATAATAAATTTATTGACATTTTATTGAAATTTTATTTATTGAACATTAACATAAAACCCATTTAATTGTAAAAACAAAACATAAGTGTGAAATCATGATCTTTGATGAATAAATTCAAGATTATTTTCGCCTACTAGTGCCCATTAAAAAACATGTTTGGTGAGTGATAATCAATTTCTCTTCTTCTCTGCCTTTGCCTCAGCAGCACTGTTGCTCTCTAGGGGGAAAAAACAAAGCAAAAGGTAAAACATTACACAAATCTAAAGCTAATGAACTCATCACTTCAGCCATTCACAATCAACAGCACCATAATAACTAGTAGCATCTCCAATCAGTGCTCTACTGTGAAGCTTGCTGTTGTCACCTCTTATCACCCTGTTTCCGAGGCATCTATGACATCATGGGAGCAGACCGTGTTAATCAGCTGTTGGCTGGATGTTGCTGTGTGGTTGGTTTTACCTGCTGCGGGAGTGACGTTGGCTCCCACAATCCCAGTGGCGTTGGGCGGGGGAGGAGGGACAGCAGGCCTGATCACAAAAGACACAAATATATATATATATATATATATATTCATCAATGGTTTACATCTCCTGGTGTTTTTATCTACCTGGTATACACAAGGCAAAGATATATTTATTCATCCAGATTTAATAAATGGATGGCAGATCCATAATTTATTTTCCTAAACCTGCTGTAGAGATTTTGAATAGGCCACAGGTCTGAGTCAAACCCATAGCAACGAGTCAGTCTTGGTAGATGGGGGACGCCAGCTCTACCAGGTGAGCTACCAGGGTGGCCTAGTTGCAGTGACCTTCAAGGTTATATGTACAATTGTTTCCAGTTACTTTTTCTCATGTTAATACAGTTGCTAAAAAGTGTTCAAGTTCATCCTAACATCCTAAAATGTCTCATAAAAATAGGTTTTGGTGAGCCATACTGACAGTGAACATGTTGTCACATAAGTTTTAACCTTAACTTAAGGTATAGAATGCCTCTGTCAACCTTTCCAAACCTCTATTCTCTATTCTGGAGCAATTGCAAATCACTGTCAAGACATTTCATTAAACAGACCTTCTACCTGAAACAATTACCCTGGAAGCTCATTTAATGTGAAATGTACCCTAAAGTTCTTTCTACCAAGTTTTGCTTAATCTTTGCACTTTATTAAAATAATGAACTCTAAATCATCACACATCAATTCACTTAAAGCAAGGTCCTGCCACACACCTGCATAAATCAACACCAATTGTCTTCAAAGCTGGAGCTAGTTTGAGCTATTCTAGGAATGATTTTCATGGAAGAATACACTGGTTAAATCTGCCTCACACGGTGGAGCCTCTGCACAGAAAATGTCCCTTCCCTTTTAATTGAAATCTCATAGATTTGTTCTGTCTGTCTAAATTAAATTCTTGTGCCCGCTATGAAAAACATCTCAGCCTGCCAGCAGGAGATGATTTGATACAAGCTGCCTCCTAAAGGGAAAAAATCTGATTATTTTTCAGAGTGATGAATGTGCGTTTGACTTTTTACTTCGTCTGACAGTTAATGAGTTGTCATATGAAATGTAATGAACATGCAGGAGCTCTGATCACCTGTCTGTGTGTGGCGGAGAAGAAGGGGGGTTGTTGGGGTCTAGGTGGACCAGTGTGGCCTGATGCAGGAGCCATTCAGGGTAGAACAGGAATGGAGCATGGTGGTAATAATGGTGGTATGTCTCTTGGTCAGCCTCATTCTCTTGAATAACAACCAGATCTCTGGGAGCCTGCCATACAGGGAAGGAGAAAAACAGCACAGCTTCATTTCTGAGTGGAAGATCATTACAAAGTTTCAGCTGCTAAAGTTTTAGTTCAGTAACACTGTCCAGTGAAAACAAATTGCTTGTTTTTTAAGACTTTTTTAGGAATGACATTAAGGAAATTCTTAAAGCTAGATTTGTTTACAAATTTAAAGAATAAAAGTCTAGATTATATCCATAACCTTCCAGTTCCACTCAGTTATACACCCAACAGGACCTACAAATCCCAACAATTCCCTGCAACTCACTGCTGATGTCTTGTAACATAAGACAATCAAACAGTGAGCTAGGAGGAAACATTGGAACTCTCTCTGGAACTTTCTCTACATGTTATTGACCAGGGTAACACACTCAGATTCTGATTCATATTTTAAATTGTTTAGTTATACCCATTTTAATCAACTCAATCTTTTAACTAAGTCGACCCTGATCCTTATCTGGTACCCACCACAGGGCCTGACAGAGGGCTGGAGTATCCGAACGAGCTGAGAGCTGACATGGTCATGTTGTTCATGATGACCTGGTGCATCTGGGCATTCTGGATCATCATCAGCTCTACAAGGTCTGCATATTGGGAATATTACACCAGCACACACACACAGCATTATCAGCATTATCTGAGGGTCTTCTGATTGTCTAATGTAATTTATCAGCCTGCTATTCTGTCCTCTTCCCTCGGGGTGACTAGGTGATTAACCCACATTGTGTCAAACCGAGATGGTGAATGTGAGCTACCAAACTCAATTTTCTCTCCTTCTTGTCAGTCAACATTTGTTCAGCAATGACTCACCTCACTTAATTATTTAACTCCTTCCCAGATATATAAATAAAATTTCTGACCCCGATTTAGGAAAGTCTATTCAAGGTACAATAATTATACTGTCATTTAATTCTTTGTTTTATATATGTGGCTAAATATAGCCTTAAGTAATATTTGTCATCTTGATGAATAATTAAATGCTTTCAAGGTAAAATGAATGATATCAGCTGTTTGATAGCTTCATGGTGCAACACACAGTAACATTACAAACTTTGTGATATTTCACCATCTTGACAGAGTTAAGTCAATTTCATAAATAATACAGCAATGATGTCAGTTAATGGAGGTATGAGGACTACTCATGTAAGGGACATATGACTCAGTGTAACATGATGGCTGATTGAGCTGGATTAGCACTTATCAATCTCATGCACAACATTTCTTACAGTTAATATGATAACCAGCATCACTGTGGTGAAATTGTTTGTCAGGATTGTCCCTTTCTATGGTTTAAACAATATTTTTTCGAATGTAAAAAATGTAAAAATAATTTGTATTGTCAAATTCAATGTTCTGTCTTTTGCTGGCTTCACATAAATGTAACGATGATGCTGCTGGTACACTTTCAGAATGACAACCCCATGAACCAGAAATTTAACTCCACAACTGAAACAGCAAAAATGCTGGTAACACTAGAGTAAACACAATTATTCCAGCCATCAAGTAAGGCTAAAACAAAGAAGGGAGAACCATCACCTCTAACTGAGACCCTGCTGATTTACATTACATGAGTGTCTGGTAAGGCCATTGTCAGTGCTCACAAATTAAAAAAGCAACATATAAAATTGTTTCCTTCAGCAGCAATAGAGGAATCCATCAGAGCAAAACTTACCAGGACAAACCTGTAAAAAGTTTTATTTTAACCCTTTACCTTTTCTGGTCTCTGAGAGGACAGTATCTAAGTAAGTCAAATCATCAAATTACATGATTGTGTCCGATTTTTCGTAATTTTACAAGCATTTGTACGGTAAATAAAACATTGCTCCGTACAGCTATGCGCCAGACAACACGTTTGCATTTAATTGAATTCAGTAGGAGTAACCTAAATTGTTTCCCACAATCTATATGCACAGTAACAATTGTTTGGCATTTTAATCCTTTAAATCTCTGAACTTAATGTCACTGACTTAAAAACCTTTATTCCCAATAATTGGATGATACCTTTAAAAGTAGCTGACTAAAACGTGCTGCAGCACCTGAACATAAACATAACACACATTCTCACATACAAACTCATGCACATATATTTTATGCAATTGTCCCAGCTCAAGGAGACCATAAATAATATATCGGAGTGCTTGCTAGCAAGCTGGTAATGTGACAGACAGGCAAGAACAGCTGTGAATGTGAAATCCTGAGATTTAGTTTGTGTGTGGTGACAGTCTGCCATACCCTCCTTGACGTGACCACCAGGCCTAATGGAAGCAGAGGAGCCAGGAGGCATCATGGTTGCTGGGAGCTGCTGCAGGATAGTAGGGGGCTGCTGGGGAGCCTGGGGAGGAGAGATTGTACTGTAATGAGGCTATCTGCCTGGAGGCGCAGTGGCTGAGAATAAACTGCAGTATTCATCTATACAGGAGCTGAAGCTCCACTCCATTGGAAGAGGAAAAAATTAAAGGATTATCTTGCCATATGCAAACAATATTAAAATCATCCCTTCTTCTAATACTAGAAATTATTATATCATGACATAAGATTTAGGATCAATGATAAATCTTGCATTTGAGCTACACAGAGAGCAGTATGTTGGCTGTTGCTAAGGAGCTTTAGCAACCCAATAACCACAGAGAGAGAATGAGTTAAAATAATTCACACTTACAGGAAATATCTGAAAAGCATGTGGATCATACGGCTCAAAGTGTGGATAAATATCTTCTGTCCACGCCATATGTGAGAGTTTGAGCTGATATTATTTACAAGATACTCAGTATGTAATTCTAACCTGTTTGCTGAAATGCAGAGGCACACAGTAGCAGGTTGCCAAGGTGCCAAAACACAAGCAACAGTCTGCACATGCATATGCACACACACTCACCCACACAACACATACACACACCAAACACACACTCCCTCCATCTGTGACACTACACTGACCTACAGTATGCTGGCTCTTTGTGTAATTAAGCTCACTTTGGAAGCCAAAGCAGAGCAGCTGGTAACTCAAAGAACCAAAACTATAATAGATTGCCTATAAAAGTATCCACCCGCTCTAGACTTTTTATGTTTTACTATTTTGCAACAGTGAATCACAGTGGATGTAATTATTTTTTTATGACGCTAATCAAACAGGGGAAAAAACCTTTCACTTAAATGTCAAGGTAAAAAATACCCACAGTTTCATTTAAATTAAAACCTAGGTAGGTATTCTAGATATTACATTTTTTTTTTTTTTTTTTTACAAATTTATAACCTCAACATTTCTCCCAGTAATGAGTTAACCTTTTTCAAAACTCTTCCCGACTGGTCAGCATAATTGAATGTCAAGGACTAAACTGTGAATCACTTTCCATTGCTTTGACACAAAATGCGTTCAGTGAACACATTTTTCAAAAGTAATTAACTGTTCTCACTCAAACTCAGAGACCACTAAAACTCCCAACACATTTTGCATATGTTTACATACTACATACATACTGTCAAAATAGTATGTAATAGTATTCTAGGCTGGTGTCACTTTTCTATCCATCTTATGCTCCATTTCTCAGAAATTTTCCTCATGGAGGTACAAAGTTTGTCACCTCTTGGACAATTCTAGATGTCTGGACAGGGAATTGCAAGAGAGGACGTAAGATGTGAAGTCGATGAAAACTTGAATTGAAAACGCAGAAGACATGGGTTACTAGCACTGTTGTATTTATATATCTGTAGCTATCCTATACAAGTATGTATACTTAAAGCATACCTGGAATTACTTCAGTTTAATTTTGTGCACTTACAACTATTCAACAACCAATTGTAAAATACCAGCTAATATTGTGCTAATAAAATGTTTATCTATATTAACTCAGAAAAAGATCATCAGAGGTTCCTCATTGTGAACATCTGAACATTGACTGTGACAAATGAAATGCTGCTAATGTTGTTGTGAAAGTTGCTTAAAATATCTCCAAACTGCTGACATTACTTCTCCTCCCTTTGTGTGCTGTATCTAAGTTACATTTATGATTACAATTACGAGTACAAGAGCAGTATATCGGATCAGATACCTGATACTGGTATCGGTAACGGTGCATCCCTAATTTTTTGGTTTTGTGATCACTGGAGCTGTTGCACCACTGCACACAAGTTTTCCCACTGAGGGGTGTCGTTTTCATTGTTACAGTAAACTGTGGGCCAATAGTGTCAATCAACACACACACACACACAAAAGGTGAGTGAGCATGCTGGCTTTTATATTATCTTATTTTTCCAGCACTAATATGTAGTGTTCAACTGGGACAATGAAACATGTTCATAATGATTTTCATTCAGTATGAAATTAAAAATTTAAACTTAATAAAAAGACACATTTTCTATCTCTCTATCTACATATGTGAACACAGACAGACAGGGAGCTGTTCACATTATGGCTCAGTTACATCATTAAATATTTATATGCGTCCTAATGGCTACAATATTACAACAGGNNTACACCCTTGATCGAGATAGATAGATATGATTTGATTAGATCTAAATGACACCGTTTACCACACTATTTACTTCAGCATTTATTAGCAGAACAACAGCTGTTAATAAAAGGTAGCACATAACTGAAGTTGTAAGGAGATAAAAGTTTATTTTGTAGTTTATATGTGTTTTATGTGTGTGTGTGTATAGACCACCCATTACTGATGGTGTGATGTATAAACAGTTAATGAATGCTTAATGACACAGTATAACGTAGTTGTTAATATGTGTGTTTATTCGTCCAAGCGTTTTTGAAGAACTACCTATGTCAGGACATTACAATCTACTTTAAACCTATCCACAAAAATGTGTGCATAGGTATTATCACTTGGTAAATGCTTTACTTACACACTATAAAATGGTAGTTTTGTTTATTCATACAAACAATTTAAACTGCAGCTGTTGAGTTAACATTAAACACTTGTTTGTCTTATAGTGTTTTAAACCATGTGTTTATCCCTTATAATGCAATAAATGCTAGGTAGATTAGGATAAAGGGTTACTCTAAAGCTTTCATTATCATTGTCAAATTTGTTAGAATTAACAGATCTCTGTCTGAGGTTGACCGAAAACCCTAATAAGCACATGCAGGATAGGAACACTCCAGTTTTTCCCTGTTGTAGGAACTAAGTGTGATACAGTGGCCTTGTTTTAAATTGCCCCCAGTCTCCCCACAGGTGATTTTTTAGTATTAATATTTAAAATAACTGTGATGTGGCCACAGGTGCGAGTTTATGGAGCGCTCAGAATGCGACACAGCCAACAATGCATGTATAATAGATGGTTACAGCCTGAGCTTCACTATGGCAGACGACACTAATTAGCACACAGTTTACATTCACTGTACCACTCTGCCTTCCAACTCCCCTTCCCTCCTCAAACCTCCCCACTCCCTGTCAGTGGAAGGAACCTCTACACCCCCATCGCATCTCTAGCTCTGTAATTAAAACGCTGTAATCTGGGTGGATCGTCTCTATTTTTAAAAGCCCCCTGTCATCGTGTGGGTAAAGTGACACAAAGGGAGGCATCAAGCAGTGAAAGAGGAGGAGGAGGAGGAGAAGGAGGAAGGGGAGAGATAGGAACAACCGCAGCAGCAGGTGATGACCAACTCTTTGAGGGATGAGGAAACCAACAAACTATGTTTAATTGGCAGAGTGGCCTAAAGATTATTTCTCATCCTGTTATCCAGCTCAGCCCACACACCTCACATCAACTCCTTTGGAATAACAGATTGTTTTTTATAGGAACAAAAAGAGAAAAGTGCTTCGCAAATACCACCACTGAAATGCAATCCAGATTTCATTTGAATCTTTAAGAAATATTTAAATAAAATCATCCCTGGACAATTTACAGTTCTCATATTTGTCATATTGTCTTGTTGTCTGAAACAGAAAAGACAATATGAGAAATAGACCTAGAGCAGTCAATATGTACAGTGTTTCACAGCTGATTCACAGTGTAGTACTTACTTGCACGTATTCATAGAGCTAGCCTTTAACCCTTTTAAAGTTTCACTCAAATGGCACACTGTAGACCTTTTTCACCTGGACTTATTGGGCTATAATGCACAGTCCAATGCAGACAAGCTCACCTGGTAAATGTTACTGAATATTGTGATGTCTGCAATTAACTGGCTCTTGATTTCTAGTAGTCTAATGGTGTTGTTTACTACCACCATGTTCACAATAGTCTCCCGTTCTTATGTAAACAGCCGGTGTCTTCCAACATGGCCTGGTCGTCTCTCAGTTCTGCAAAAGATCTAAAAATATAATATGATGGTTACAGTAGAAATAAAAGATAAAATAATAATTTCAATATGTAATGACATTGCTGTAACATTGGTCAGCAATCACTGAGTAACATAGCCTATATGTCAGAATTCAGTATAGTACAGTATACATCCATAATGAGCAGGAGTATAGTGTAGATAGCAGATAACTTATCGGTTCTCATTTCTGAATGTACGGATGATAGATGCAACCGTATAGCTGTGCAGGTTGGGCTGAACTTTCTGCCCAGCCTCCCTCATACTCAGTCCATGGTTGAGCATATTGTCAACCAATGTGGCCCCGATGTCATCTGAGACAACTGTCCTTTGTCGTCCTCCTCATCCTCTCACTTCTTGACCTCTAGCTCTTGCTTTACCATTTACCTAAATTTTCCTCCAAAACAGAAGAGCTCATTTACGGCCTATTGATTGTGCAAAAGCTTTGATTTGTAAGTGAACAATTAAGCAACTAGTGTTTACACCTGTGAGGAGTGTGTGTTGCCAATTGGTAAATAAAGCTTGGCATTGTGATTGCCGTTGCTTTCCAAAGGAACACAAAAGATTTTCATTTTGAATGTGCCTACTGTAGAGAACTGTGTGTAGTGTTTTGAAAAACGTGTGATTTAGAGTGTAAAGCATGTGTGCTTGCAATTTTGCAGACTTAGTGTCAAGATTTAGTACATGAGTGTCAGTGATTGCATTCCAAGTTCCAATTTTAGTGGGTAAACAATTGTGAAAAACTGTATTAGAACATATCAGGAAATATATATGCATACATGGTATCATATACTGTATGTCAAATATGAATGAGACTCTGGAGTTTGCTGACACCCTCTGTAGGGACTGGGCTGCTGATGTATGATTAAATTATTTGCACTTCTCAGTAATATTTAATCACACTCATGCCTGCACAACATGCACAGAAATGGTCATCAGTGTTGGTTAGAGGGTTACCTCATTGCATTAGGGATCATTTATTCATACCCCAGGACTGGAGAGGGAAGGCCATACATGGAGATGCCCAGCAGTCCTCTCTGCATCAAAGCTAACAATAATAATTAACAACATTAGCTGGATGTTCTGCTATAAAGTATTGTATTTTCTTCGAATGTTATCCTTTTCGTATGCTGGTGTTCTCTGAAGTTGTCGCTGTCGTTTTTCGACGGATGGTGACAGTAAGATGGCAGATTTGAAATTAAAGCTCTTATCATTAGTCCATGACTCTGACTCACTCCCCCCCACCACCACCACCACACACTCGCCACACACACCCCTCTTTTGCCCCTCACCCCCTGCGGCACCAGCTCAAGAACATGGCCATTACCTTTCCCCGTTCCTATGGCAACACCACCCTGCAGCCCCTATGTGGTGGTAGTAGCAGCATGTGTATGTGTGCGTTCACAATCACGTGTGTGTGTGTGTGTGTGTGTGTGGATGTGCATGTGCATGTGCATGTGCATTGCAGGCTTAAGTTTGTTTAGATAATGTCAGCGAAGAGTACAATCAGGTTTTTTAAAGGTTTAATGTCATCCTCTTCCTCTCACTGTCTGTCAGTGATAAACATACAATGTGTGCAGCCTCAAGAAAGACACCATTCACAAGTGTTCACATGTGGCAGTCCAGTGTGTGTTTGTGGGTTGGTAATAAGTTTCCGGCTGTGTTTAAGTTCTTTCTGATTGATCCCTGCAGCAGTTGATTAGTACATCTCCAATTAGAACAACTGGACAGTCATAATGGCTCAGTGCTTTCTCATCAGGGGCTGTCCAATGTCACCTCGAACCCTTCAGGGAAGCAGAAGTTTGGCGCCTCCACAGTAGCAATGTTCTTTAATGGTGAATGAAAAAAGAAGAGATGAAAGAGATGATATCTAGAGACGACAAGAGCATAAGCGTGACATGACATAGCTGAAGGAGAGTGGAGGACAGGCCAGAGAGGGTGGATGTTATTCTCTCTTTGATGGTCCACTGTGTGGCATGTAGGGGTGAGGCAGAAAGAGAGTCAGAGAAGCAATGTGAGATAAGGCTTTGAATATATCTCCTCTCACTCTCCTCTTTTTCTCTTCTCCCCAAGGAGGGGGGCTGACTGACAGATGCTCCCCACCACCACCACCGCCTTCTCCCCCGGCTGTGGGCAAGCTTTGTATAGTGCCTACCACCAACTCGAGCCAATTAACACGTCTCTATGCACACTCTGAGTTTATTAATACATAATAAACTAGTTAGCCACACACGCTAATTATCTCGCATTTGGCCATTTAAATGTAAGTGGTTGGGGGCGGTATGTCGTAGGCGATGGGAAGGGTTTGTAATGGTGCTGCAGAACAGTGCACCAGTTTATGGTCAATACAAGTGATTTTCCGTGGTAATCAATGGAATGAGACAACCACCATCCCCTTGAGAGGACACAGTCATTAGAGAAAAGCATATTAATGCCATTTGCCTTAGACAGAATAAGATCCCATTCTGTTGGATGTTTGCTTTTTGTTTATTGTGGGCTTGATTAGTCCCATGATGATTGTCTCCATCTAAGGGAGCCAAGTTGGTGTCATTGTGTCTCAGCTCCCTCTCTCCAGTGCTCCTTTCTGAACGCTGACTTAATCAGACACAGCCTGTGCCAAGCTCCCTTCTTCTGTTTTGATCTGACATCCCCAGTGCCGAGCTGTCTCCTCGCTTTGACTGGGTATCAAGATGCAGGATTGACCTGCACGTGATCCTCAGTTAAATACAAAAAACGAAATGAAAGATGGTTCAGTGCAACATACGACTCGCTATCCCTCATGAGAATTAGATTTAACCTTACTGCCGAAGGCCTGCACAGACAATGAGCCTTTGCGGTATTATGCTCCATCTAAAACTTTCCTTCGGGTTGGAGGCTCATTAGATAATTTAATTTAGAGTGGTTTATGATTTCCTCAATGAGAGGTTGGGCACAGGGGAAGGAACATGACATTCTCAATAACAGTGAGTCACAGATTAATGTACCTGTTCTGCCTCTTTTTCTGTCAATGCATAAAAGCTGCATTGCAAAATCAGATTGTGGGGCCACCTGTGCTGCTAAAGATCACACTACTACTGGCTTTCTCTTTGTTTGTTTAATTTTATTGCAGACATCTGTTACCTCTGAATATGATTAAGCTCTTTACACAAAGTAGAACATGTGAGTGCTAAACCTGTGAATACTAAGTATTAATTTGCATATTCTTTGTAATGAATCATACAAAATGGACTGGGGTTTGGATTTAAGAGTCTCACCTTTTAAAAGTGTTAAACCACTACTTCCTTGAGATTAGGGTAGCAATTAATATTGTGCTTTTAAAAGGCACAAATAAATAAAATAAGTGTCCTCATAAAAAGAATAAGTGAATAAGAAGGAAGATAATTAATTTCTTTCAACTATAAAGCTTTTGTTGTTCACTCTTTTCACTGGCAAATTCCTTTTTCTTTTATGTCCCAGAGCCACATTTCCACTTAATTTATTTTTGAAGCAAACATTGGGGTATTACCACCGTCACCTTTTTGTTGTTCTTTATTATGTCCTCATTTTATCAATTATTATGTGACAATATGTATTTGTATGAATTCAACAGCATTGCTGGTTCCTAGTGTGTGAGAGAGACACATTTATGAGAGTGCAGACAGACAGAAAGCATCACAAGAGGAAGGGACAGAGCTGCTGGAGTGAGAACACACTGACACTCTGGCAGGCAAAGTTCAGGACTCTGTATAGGTAAAAAGCCCAATGACACATCACGTCACAGAAAAACTGAAAATGCCTTGGGGTTATAGCTGACAGCACAGTGTTATTATGAAATCAACAACAGACACATTGGCAAATGATGCTCACATTCATGCAGAGAATATGTGCAGCATAGAAACACATTTGTGAGTGTGAAATGATGTAGGTGTATCATTTTGTGGATGGTACTGCATGCGTTAATTGAGTTAAGTGTGTGTGTGTGTGTATGTGTGTGCGTATTCATGTGTGTGCGTAATCACCAACTTTTCAACTTCATGGTGTTATGGGTAATGAAAAGAATGAGGCAATTTTGTTGTTTGTTGTTCATTTGCCTGCACATAATAGATTTATTTAAAATTTCATGAGTTTGAATGCAAGGACTATTGGTTCCCTGCTGAATTGGATGCTGCACAATTTGCCTGGGGTGATGTGGAGAAGAGGTGTGTGTTTGTCTGTATGTATGTATGTATGTATGTATGTATGTGTGTGTGTGTGTGTGGATACCGATATGTTCACAGTTCTCTAAGAATTTTTTGGAAATTCCACCAGTTTCAGTGGGTCAAGCATTTAAGAGTCTCACAAGCATTAGCTACAAATATTGATATAATTGCTTTCAGATAGTAATGCATCCTGGTGAACACTGTATATTAGTGGCAACATAAGATTTGAGTATAGATGCCTTGGTGATACCTTTTGAAATGACTGCCAAGTCATACCTATATCGTGAGTGTGTGTGTGTGTGTGGGTGAGGACCAATGGGAGAGAAAGAAAAGTGTTGACATCCACTCACCTGTGTGAGATGTGAGATACGGTTTCCATTCCTCAACTTCATTGCATGTATTGTTATTGCTTCCTCCTTTGAATGCAACAGATCCCATTAGAAACAGATTGAATGGGGCTGAGAAAGGCCACTTCATCCTTGTGGGACCTGCGTGGGCATAGAAAACAGATCTTTTGTGTATCTTGCCCTCTAATCAAAAATACTGATGGAATTAAAAAACGGCTTTCCCCATAGTGTCGCCTGCGCTGACAAATCTGTATTATGTCAAACTTTTCCGCTGAAAAGTGAAGCACTACAAGAGATCTTCACATTGATTTATTAGGTATTTTCACTCAAGCCAAGCTTCATGGGAGAGCTATCTTTACGTGCTGAATGCCACTGCTGGTTTAATCACCATTATTTTTGTCATGATTTCATGGCCAGTGCATGGTTCATTATTTTCTGTGAGATCTCTGTTATAAAAGGTCAGTGGTGACACTTACTGACAAGAAAATGTACAGAAGCTCTATGGAGAGAGAGCTTGAACACATTAAACCTGCACAAATGCACACGTTGATTGGGGTGAAGGCTTAACATGTTAACGTGTTGTTCCTGTACTGCCACTGCAACATAAGCTTATTAATATCTTCTTAATTATTATAACTAATTACATCCGAGCCTCTGCTGGTGCAGTCTTACTCTTCATAACAATGACCCCTTGTCAAGCAGTCCAACTTGTAAGCCCATAACCATACATGCTTCCTTTTCAAAATGATTATGGCAGATCAGAGATGTGCACAGACCATTGGGGCTGTTGCACTTACCTCTAAAAAAGGCTTAGGGCTACCGCAACAACACCAAATTTGGATGCTGCAGGGCTTTGTTTTTTTCTCTGTGTCCTCTGGAGTCCTGCCTTTTAAAAAGTAATAAATGTTTGGATATGGCGATTTAATTTGGTCTAACTTTGTAGGCTATGTATTTATGCAACAACAACAATGAAAATAAAACTTATTTTTTTCTTCAGAGGGCAATTCAGCCATGGAGGGCATATGGGCTGTTGCTCAGGCAACTTGAGCCTGGCATTGTGCACGTCCGTGTCACAGATCATTCAGTTGGTGAGGAAAAGCAGCATAACGATTCATGTGTCCACAACAGATTGTGGACACATGGATGGTGCTCCATGCTAACTCTTTAGCATATGCTCAGTGGTAGTGGTGATTCATAGTGCCTCCAGAGAGAGAATAAGTACTTTAAGTGGATCTTAGGCAAGATGGTGAGTAATTTTAACTGACTTTCAGCCAAGTCAAGAGAAGATACTATTGTGGGAGAAAGTGTCGAGTCTTAAACTGAAGAATCAGAGAAAAAGAATGTCTTTTGAATTGCACAACGCGTTCTCACACTTGAATCTCAGCTTTTTGATCATTCAATTTTTCATTCAGTTTCTTCAAATCCTCTCCTGAATGCATTCATGCTTCATGCTGTTCAATTGTAATGTTTAGTGCCAATATTAATAATAGTTGTGTAATGTTCATTTATTGCAGTATAAAGATAAGATGTGATATAGTTTTGCATATCAGCCTTTTGGTTAACAGCCTGGGTTTCTGTCTCATAATGCAAAATAAATTGTTAAATGTTTCACATGTACCATGTAATGCTAATTCCCCATTATATCAGTGACATATTAGTGCATAAAATACTGTATGTGCCATATACATAACCAGTTCATGGCCAAAATGCAACATTTTGCATGGACAAATACTGACTTTACACAGTCTATATTTTTAGTTTAAGGAATTTTAGAGAGCACAGCATGTTTGTTAAAGGCTAAATATCAATCTTACTAGATGGTATGTGAGTTATAGATGCTAGCTGCTATGTTTCTATGGTTGTAGTCTTGCTGAAATGTCAGTGAGTGATAAATCCATCCCATCAATGTTATTTTCAGTGGTAGCGGCTGCGTAACTTTAAGAGTTGTTTTTTCTAATCTAATCAATTTACAACTACCTTTAGAACTGAGTTGATTTCATCCACAGTTTTGCAACATTTTTCTGGGCATTCTCACAGAAATATGATGTCCCCATTCCCCCCGCCTACAAAGCTTTGACTGACTCAGTTGCTTCAAGCAGTGGGGATGCTAGAAAGCCCTTATAACAAAAAAAGACAACACACATCCATAAACCCTGCTGTATTCCAGGACCTCTTTCATTGGGCCCTCCTAATCATTCAGCCCCCCATAACTGCACCCATGTTCTCTAAACGCATGTGTCTACCCTGTGGGGACTGCATCGTGGCAATGCCTGACTGTACAATAATAAGTGTTACAAGTTAAAAACTTCTCTCCAAAAATAGCATGCAGGCTTTCTTGTTTCCAGCAAGCATTCACTGATACATGAGACCAACACCAGATCAAATGTATTTATTTTTTTCTCTGAGGATTATGTTACAGGCTTCAAAAGAAAAGATGAGGCTATACCACATACCTATTATGAGTGGTCTTAATAACAGTTTTTTTTTTCACCACAATGATTGCATTTACTGCAGTAGATAATTTATCCTGACCTCTTAACCTCATCACTGTATAGCATATACTGTTTATATTTGATTGAAATTGCAGACCTACTGTGCGAATGCTTACAGTGTCCTGCTCCAAAAGAAAATATGACATTCAGGCTTGAATAATTGTGTATGCTTTCATACTTTGTCATGCTCCTTAAAAAAAAAGCAACAATGCACTTGACATATAGGTAATTGTTACCATGTCAACGTGTTTAAATACACTTTATTTTTCATATACATGCGTGTTGTGTCTGAGATAGACTGTAGAGTTGTTCTCAGTCGTTAAAGTCTAATTATCTAATAAGTTTTATTTATTCATGTGTTTTTTTCTGAAATACTTTTGGTTGAGGTCAGAATTTTCTGGTCTGTTGCACATCAGTGTCCAATGTGTGCATGGTGAATGGGCACACGTGTGGATGCATGGGTGTGTTTGTAAGGATTCATCTACCCCAGCTCCCCTAACAAGTACTGAAATAATAATGAGAACATTGGTTGCTTCTGAGTGGGGCGCATGAGAGAGAAGGAGGAGGGGGTGCAGATAGAAATACAGAAGAAATAGAAGTAAAATTGAACTAATATTCTGAGCTCAATACAATGGAAACCTAATATCAGATACTTAGAATGAAACTGTCTGTGGGTTTTCTGTCCGTCTGAAATAGAAGTTTTTTCTTCCTTGAGAAAGGAAAGAGGTGTGTGTAATGTGCAGACACTAAGGGGTAGAAAAGGTAATGATATCTTAAAGCACAATGACAGCTGGATGTCCCTATATGTCCTCTTTGTGTGAAATCCTTCTAAAGCTGCATTGACATATGTACAGGTGCCCCCACTGCTAGATTATTCACATTTATGCTCTCTTTTACACTTTATGATGGCACCAAAGAAGATGAACCATGAACCTCTCTGGATGCCACTTGTGCAGTGCAGTGGGGGCTACTAGGAAGTTAGGTAGTCAGGGTGAGTCTGAATGTTTCTTGATTGCAGCAGGTCACTCTTCAGAGAGATCAGATTAAATGCTGTGAAGCCAATATGAACTTGGCCTGTTGTCTACAAGATGGATAGCTCAACCTCTCCTCTCTCTCCTCTCTATATAAAGCTGCTATAAATACCACACTGCTTATATTGATACTTATTTATTAAATGTGATTGTGTCATGTGATCTTGGCATGGCATGTTATCTTAATTTTAGGCTAGAACTGCTGTATTTAAAATATGATTTTCTATGTACTTTAATTAAAAAACATATTCCACTCAATTTAAAAGTGCACCTACTTTGTTAATGTATTCACTTAATGCTTTAATTTTGTGCATAAGTAAAGATCACATCTGATCAGATGTGGATCAGAGAACATTTCAGAAATCTGATTTAATCTCATTTTAAAATTAAAAAGTAAAAGTGCATGTTTCTTTAGATATAATGATCATTCACGCCTGATTTCAAATCCTAAACACAATATTGGATAAAAAATATATCCGCAACATAATTTCCCGAAACCCAATCTACCAAAAACGGTTTAATTAGACAGCAATGTTGAAATAATATTTATAATGTTAACAGATGACAAAGTTTAAAATGGTCATTCCAGTGTTTTAATTGCATACTGCAATTTCTTTTTTTTTCTTTTCTTTTTTTTTTTGGTACAAAATAATTCATGCAGCATCAGTGATTTCAAAAGTGCAAAACGGGTCCAAAAACCACTTTACAGATCAATTAGCGAGCATGCCATACAGGACCAGAATCACTTCATAAAGCTCAGTTCGTTGAAAAACGTGCAAGATTTCAGTATTTAGAGTGTATTTACCAAACGAGACCAAGAAAAATACTTTGTATAGAGAATATCCACATATCCACCACGTCCACATAGTACACTGGCAGAGGTGGAACTATAAGAATTCACAATCATGCTTTTTGACAGTTTTAAAAACATTCACTAACAATCATTTCAAATTTGCAAAAAAAGAAAAAATAACTAAACAAAAAATGAGGTAACAGCTTGTAAACATTTTCGTTACTTTGTTCAAGTTGGCAACATCAAATTCACTCAAAGGATTCAACAGATCGGCCCACGTGTAAACAATTGCCCGTGTTTTACGCACAAACTTTACGCACACACATTTGTCGCTGGACTACTTTCCTGTAGTCGTTTTTCGGAAGGAAATGTGAAGTTTTTGCATATCTTTCCTCACTAGGACACAGAGAGAGCGTCTTTGAGAAGTACATGCAGATGCCGATCTTGACCTGCGGTAAGAGATGGGTACCAGATCCGCACACCGGATCTTCGCTCCAGTTTTCCACAGTACCTGTTCTCCATGCTCTAGCTGAGCCCGATCATGACCGTCTCCACGTCTTTGGAGGGTCTCCGGTCCTTCACCAGGAAGTTAATCATGCTCTCCGATTTGATCATCAAGTTGCACCCAAGAAAAAATATGCCGAACACGACGGTGAGAGACAACACGCACAGGACAGCTATTTGCACCACACGCATGACGAAGAGTTTGCGCTCGTCTTGCACTACCAGGGACCCTCCGCCGTCGCCGGTCACCACGTTGTCGGTGCCATTGCCGGAGTATGTCGCCAGAGTCCCAGCGAGGGTCTGACTGCCATTAAACAGCGCGCCCTGGGTCACGTCGAAGAAGGAGACGTTCATGTTTCTTTGCGGGTTATCAGCAAATAAACACGCGACTCCACTTGGCTGGCACACAGTCTCACCACAAAATCTGGACTCCAAGCAACAGTTTGCGTCATGTGACTGTTCAGACAAAAATAAGAGAAAAAAAATAAAACAACAATATGCTTTTTAAAGTCCAGATCTATAGGCAATCGAGTTTGTGCGTAATGGCCACATCCACATCACCGGACTGTAGTCAAACAGCGTCGCATCAGATGCAGCCAAAAGTAAGTTTCTTCAACTCAAAGTCCACGTTTTTTTCTGACTTTTTTAGTGAGTCTTCTTAAAAAGTGCGCAAGGTGCAAAACGTGTTTCCTCTTCGGTGTAATAAGAGATAGTCCCTTTGCGCCTGTGCTCGCCTGCGAGCGCTTCTTTTGTGCCAAGTCTCTGGTGCGTTTTAAAGTGATGATGAGTTCCCCGTGGACCACACCACCACTCCTCACCAGGGGAGGTAGTCAGATGGCCTCAGATAATGCGCTGCTCCTCTGATGTACAAAAGACTAAATAAATAAATAAATAAAATGTAAAAATTCCATTTGAGCAAGTCTTAATTTGGCATTCATTCTAGTGTTTATTACTTTTATCTTACAGTTTTCCTCTGCCACTGAAGTAAAGAGAGATCTGTGGCAATAATTTTACATTAGATGCACATTTTACTTTCCCAGATTTCTTTTTTTATTTATCTTGAGTTAGAAGGTAACATGTTTGATAAAATAATAATTCAACAAGTCAATGTATTTCAAACAGGTGGTAATTCCCATAAGTCTCTCAATTCAAGACAATTAGTTGGCAAGAAAGTGAGACTAAATGACTCATAAACATGGATATTTTGAAGTATGTTCTTCTGAAACCAAAGTAGCCCTAATTTATGCACATCAATAACACCAGAAAGCCTCACCAATATTGATTCAGACATACATTAACTTTGAAGACTTCTTATGAATTGAAAATTTGAAACCTGAAAACATTAAGTTAAATTATAATAAGAATGGGTTGCAAATTGTCCTCTGCTACTTTGGGAGGTTTTTATAGAGTTTAATGCCTGTTCCTGAGGAAGCTGTCACTGTTACTAAGGGGCCTCGAGAGAAATGTCAATAAAGGCACAGCAAGCTATAACTGAATTAATAAACTATGATAGAACCATGGCAAATATTTATCAGAAATATTGGCTCCCCTGCTTTTGCTGCGCCGCTGTTTTATTTCCTAGACAGGAGCTGAAATCAAACCACTGAACAGCAGACAGCTCTTTGTTTTTATTGGAATGTCTTATTCAAATATCACTTTGTCTTTCAAGTGTTATGTATGACTATTGCAGCTGCCTGGGACACCAGCTTATTAAGGTGGAGGTGATACCCCTGCAACCTGATCTGTAAAGAAATATGAGCCCTGAGCAAGCATAGTTGAATGCAGATTTACCATTTGATAAATTAAGTGGAAATTGAAGTTTCAAATCAATATTGATTCTCCTAGTATAGTATTCTCCTATCTATATAGAGCTAATGTTATTCTTTCTTATCACTTATCTTTTTCTGCATCCATAATGTGAGGTTCCATTTATGAGATCAATACTCTATTGACAGGCTACAATTTTTTGTGGAAGTAAATATGTTAATACGTAGGGTGCCATAATGTGGTATTCCCCTTTGAATTACCCTGTGTTTTGTTATTAATTCAACATTAACATTACATTAGCCAATATTATCTCTCTACCCCATAAATCAAAAGGCTTTAAATAATAGCAATGAGTGTGGGATGAATCTAAGTCAGCAGTTAATTAATCCAAATGTCATCCTACCTGCACTTTAAAATAACTCCAGTTATTTTATTATTAGATTACCTATAAATATTTAAGATGATTTCCATCTATACACGAAACTGTCAAGTTTGCAAGATTCTCCCTTTTCCCAGTGACTATAAGTAGATATGTACTGAACATCAACACAGATTATTACTTGATGGATGGATACATTCCCATTAAGTTTGAAAGTTACCCAAAGAGGCCAATTTGTGCTGCAGGAAAATAATCTGACAGATATGATTTCCTTGTAGTCTGTGCTACAAAATTTAAAAAAATATTAAAATAACTGTGAAAATTAACCGCTGTGAGGAGGAAGAAACCTTAAAATCACTGAAATGAGGTACTATAACCAGATTAGAAACTATTAAAGTATCTTGGCTGACTGGGTACCAATTTAATATTATTACATTACAAAGGATTAGAGCTGCTGTAACTCCACCAAACTGCTAATATAATATAGTGATATTGTATATAAACACTCAAATGTTCTTTAAATACAGCAGAGAGATAGTCTTAGCCTATTTTATCATCATAACTCACTTTACTATTGATGCAAAATTGAACAGTTGCAGTGAGGAACTTCAACAGGTTAATAAAAAAATGCCTCAAACATTTTGAAACAACTCCCTGAGACTTGTCTGCTGAGCCTGTCAAATTAATCTGCTGTTTGTCTAAAAACAAAGGCCATGAAATTCGATTTGGGATGCTCCTGATGTCTGGGTAAGCAGCTTTCAGCCACCAACTGACAAGCATGTGTACAAACAATGATTAGCTCCATCCACAAATACCTTTCATAATCCTGGAGGTGGTTTACTTACAGATCATTTATTAATGGCTGATAACAGAAGAACAAGGAGTATTTTTTGTGTACAATAAGATCAAATAATCTCATTAGTTGTTGGATTTGGTTGCAGCTAATTAATTGGCAGCATGTAAATCAATGTTGCGCAATTTGATTCTGTTCTATTATTCATTGCAGTGTGATTATGGAAAGTAGCTTGTATTTACACTTCATCTCTCTGTCAATATGTAAATCCTCTGCTACAGCTACAGTACACCTAACAGTGCCTCTTTGAGGCTCTATACAGCAAAACTTATAAGAATTTACAAATGAGAAGAAAGTTTTTGCAAAGTCAAGGAAGAGCACGCTTCAATGAACATGTTGCTCTTTTGAAGTAATTAACTTTTTTATTTTTTAATGTGTTATGTCACTATTAAATATCTTTCAAGAAGTTTTGCCCTCTAAAAGCTTCATCAACAGAAGAATCTGAAACTCTTTGGAGCATCAGACTGAGGATTTCCAATGAATGCTGCACATTTCATTGATGTACTAGTCACAGGCAGATATGTTTCTAGCTAATGGTTATTGTTAGTATAACTATATATGAAGATATATTCATATGAGGATGCGTATAGACATGAATGTGAGTGTCTGACTTGTTCCTAAGCAACAGTAGACCTGTGAGCCCAGTGACAGATGGTTGGTGAAGTTATTTTGGTTTAGAGGAGAAGGAGAGGGAGGGAGCGATGAGGTTCCTGGACGGAGGAGAGGGGGGGAAACGTTTCCACTTAACATGAGGGAATTGGCAGCCTAGCAACACAAACTAAGTGAAGACATCCCTAGCAACAAGGATGTAGTGTTTGACCCCACCCACCTCCCCTCTCCTCCTTACCCCTACATCATTTCTGTGGTGGTGCTGCCACAGGGCCTGACATGACTCAGGATCCAAAATGGACACACCCTCTCAAGGCCCTCCGCCCCAGAGGGAGCAGACTTTCCTCTTTTCAATTAACAGATTTCTCCTATGATGCCCCTTTATTAGCTGATCAAAGCACACACAGGGCTGTGAGGAAGCCGCTGTGCTCCCTGTGTGTGCTGGAGATTGAGTGTGTGTGCAATTAAAAGGCAGGAAACCTCAAGGTGAGTAAAACATATGTATTAAAAAAGTAGATTTTGGATATTAAATATGGATAGAAGTAGAAGATAGAAGATATATACTTTATTAATCCCCTAAATTCTTTTTAATTCTTAAATACACACACACAGGCTGAAATGCACACTTCATGCACTTGTGGACATGGTGGAGTGATGGGCCCGCCTCGTTAGTGGCGCCCATGAGCAGTTTTTTTGGGGTTAGGTTGCCTTTAAAAAAAAAAAAATGGTGTTAGAGGCCACATTTTGATCTTATGGGGTTTGCCACCTTTGGGACTCTTAATCACGCAGAGGTAAATACAGTCATTAATTACACACTGATACAGATTGCAGGGACGCAGTGCCACAGTAGAGTGGTGCCCCACATCAACCCCACACTAAGCAACCATCAGTCATTAAACTTATTTTAAGAAGATAATGACTTCATTGCTTTGATTTGTAGGGGGATATTAGACCCTCTGAGTGTGTATGTTCCTAGTGTGCCTACTGCAGCTTGTCCGTTGGAATGGCTGGTGAAAATCTGTTTGTTTGAGAAAACAGATTACAGATTTCATGAATCTAATTGAAGAAATCCCTGCTCGGTATCTCTAGTGCAGATATGTCATGCACTCCACCAGCCACTACCCATTAACCTCATTTCCATTTAGATACATCTCCACACCTCAGTAATGCAGCCTAACATGTTCTGTCTGTCTTTTCTGCCCCTTTATTTGCCACATTCAGCTAGTTTTGTGTTCTTTGTTCCGTCAACGTCTTTCTTTCCATCTGTGTCTGTTATATTTTACAGCATTAGACTCACGGTTATGACTGAATACAAAAACACAAGAACGGAAATGCCCTCTTGCATTCTTTCCATTTCTCCTTCCCACATATGTCCTCAGTTGTATGTTTATTTATCTATTTATTTTAGCTTTCTCCACATATGCTGTCATCCCCTGAGAGAGAAATGTAGCTGCAGATCCAGGGGGGGCGGCGAGAGAAGGCTGAGGCAGATCAGATAGCAAAGCATCACAACACAAATACACATTGTCCCTCGTCAGCGAGTCTGGGGCACATTTCATAAGCCTGCCAACCCTTCACCTGAGAAAAACTCATATCCCCCCCACTTGACCCTCCCACTCACCAGTTAACCCAGCAAAGCAGGAAAGGTTAAGCCGGTTGTAGTTAACCAAACACTGATTTTGTCTGAAAGCGATTGCGTTTTTGATATTGGCTCTCTGCGATGGCGTTCTCAGACTCAGTGAAAAGCTTAAAGGGCTCTAGATAGATCTGTAACACAGGTCGGGACCCTTCCATCCCCCTTTCCTCCTCTAGCCCCCCTCCTTGCTTCTTGTTCAGTCTTAATTGGCTGCCGTCTGACCCAGTGGCTGGCTTTTTACTAAGGACAACTGGTGCTGTGCTCTTCCCAAAATACCGTTCATCTGTGGGGGTGGTCGTCACAGAAGGCATTGGCGCCAATGGATCCAAATCAGTCAATATTGGAGATGGGGTTTGATTGCCCACAGTGTTTTACCTGCACCATCCACCCACACTGAGAGCTTAATGCCAGCAGAACAGTTGACTATTATAGCTTTTCTACTTATTTCTCTATTTCTGTCATTTCTTCTAGCGGCAATTCTTGGACACGGGTGGCAGTAACTTAGCAACCAGCCGGAGAATAAGAGCAGGGCACAGGGATAAAGATTCAATAAATGGACAAGTGCAGAGATAAGAAGCATTGTCTGCTTCTACAAGCGGCACCACACACACACATACACCACCACCACTTTCTTCCCAAAGTTCATTTCTGTAAGGCAATCTTAGCTTTTATCCCATTTTCTGCCTCATTTTCTTTTTATTTCTTTTTTTCTTGTTAGCTGGCAAATTTCAGCATGCTTCATCATTCAGTGGAATGGGAAGAGGTTTTCTGTGGCAGGCACTTATCAGTTTCATAAATTTAAAGAGGAAGAGCTCGGCTAGACTGTTTCTAGAGAATGCATATTACACAGCAATAGCTTGTGGCAAAGTCAGTCCTTTTAGACCCTGAATCAAGAAATGACTGCTTATCACAAACCTGTATGAACTCTATTACTATGTATATACTTTTATATCATATTTTCCCACTAGGGGTCCTTCTACCACAACTCCACAAGTTGTTTTTGGGTACTTCAAGTCAAAGGTGATCATCAGAGGTCATTCATTTTGAGTCTGAAGTTCTGAATGGATATTCAGGATTTTTACACATTTTGTGTAGGTTATTAGCTGTTATATGCTGGACTCCTTTCAGTCCAGGAGTGGGCAGGTCAACATGGAAAACCTTTTATTTTTAACAGGATGTTAGTCACTTTACTTTTTTTTTATTCTTGATTAAATCATGTCTGTGTATAGTGAGAGGATCACCATGGTAGTCATTTAAAGTCAAATGTATGTGTAATATGAAGTAGCCTACATGCAAAGGAACAAATCTGTACACTCAATATACCTCTGCACAGTGTGCAGGAGTCCAAAATGCTGCTTATCTCCAGTACAGCCACATTGGATCAAGTTCAAATATTCTACCACTACAGATCCTTTCTCGTGCTAATTCAGACCACATTGAGTTTTTATTAGGCTTACAACTGACAAAATAATATACATTAATGCCCATTAGTGTTGATGGCCACAGTATTTCCCCACAGTGCAACTCCTAGTGGAAAAGGAAAAATGTGAGAATTTATGAATGCTGAAGTGGTTTAGTGGCAGTGCAGAAGATAAAGAAAACAATTCCTGATTTATTTATTTATTTACATAGTACAAATAGTCTATTTTTAATGTTACATGATTCAGAAACTCCTTACCGCAAAACTAAAACTAATAACATTAATTTCTTGTAAAACAGTACAATGTTATCAGTCAAACAGTGCTGCCTTGTTTCGAGAGTAAGAGTGACACTTTTCTTGTTTTTTCCGCCGGATCTAATGCGATTTTCAGATTACAGAGAAACTTAAAAATGTGCTGCCAGTTACTCAGTCTGTGCTTTCCCTTAACTGATTTAATGATCAGAGTGTCAACCTGCTAGAACCTGCAATCTGCTCCCCGATATATTACACAATTAACTGGATGAAGGGTTTGCTGTGTGAGGCTGGGCTGTAGGCTATATGACCCAACATGCGTTTACTCAAGTCAAGAATGAGGAAAGGCGTTCAAGTGTCGAAGTGAAGAGGTCCAAAGGGAACTCAGACGACTCATGTCAAGTCGACTCCGTTACTCTCCAGCCATGGGAACTTTTTTAAACGGTCTGGTGATACTGTTTCTCTTTTTGTCATCGGCATCAAACGTTTTCGGTAAGATGACTTTTATTCCTTGGGCTACTTTTAAGTTTTAAGTTTCACCTGGCGACCTGTGGGTGTTTCCGCTCGACTTTGTAGGGGCACCTTTGAAGGTACCACAAACGGGTAATACTCACAGTAAATGTACAGGTGGTCACAATTATTGAATATAGCCTAATGTTCTCAAACGGAACACGGAATAATTCACTGTTAGCGGACTTGAATGGAGCGATACTGTTGCTTGTTACTGTGCTGCTCCGTTGGAGCGTCCACCACCTTTCCTTATAAGGGAGTGAAAATAGTCGGGATGTGTAAACCATGAAGCGAAATGACCAGGGGTCCTCCAAAATCAAGGATAGTTTAATTATCACAAATGATGTACACAGCCTAAGTTTGTGTGCTTGTGGTTTTACTTTTCCTCAATTAACTCCAATTAAATAAATAAACACAACCCTATGGCAGACCTTTTTTTACAAAGTCTACACCATTAGAACTGACAGACCTTTCTACAAAGTCTACGCCAACAGAATTATGTAGCCTACTATAGCTCAGGCATCACCATATCCTGTACTGCTTCAACATGATTCTTCTTATTTTCAAAGTCAAAATCAGTTGTGTGTGTATAGTTCACGGCCCCTGACTATTCAAGAGTCAAATTAAATCTGTTTCTCCATATATATGGTTTCAGATTGCTATTTATTACTTAACTTTAACACTTAAAAAAAGGGTAAGGTGGTGGCTGAGCTTCTGTGTATAACTTGTGAGCCACACCCATAGGTCATGCCAGATAAAAATAGAAAAAGGTTTGGAATAAATATATTTGTGTATTTACAAAACATCTTTTGCAATTTCCTAATATGGGCAAATGACTCTCAGAAAGCATAATGAGTATTAGCGTTATCGTCTCAGACCTGTTTGCACAGTACTAGTATCAAAGACTGACTCAGAAATCTGTTTGTGGTTGAACAGAGCTGATTCAATCATTTTTGGTCAGCAGTGGTCACTCCCTCAGTAAAGAAATATATGTTTAGTTACATTTCTGTTGGTGTGATTCTTACAGGTTCCAACATCTGCACATCGAGAGGAGTCACTACTTGTCAACAGTGCTTGGCGGTTCACCCTAGCTGCGCGTGGTGCTCTCAGGAGGTAAAAACACCAACAGGTAGCCACATACACACAGTGTCTAGTGGCTCCTCCCATTCTTTGTGTGCAGCAAGTTGTAACACAGACCTCATTTCTCAACAGCATTCTTCATGTTGTCATCCTCTTATTATTCTTCAACATGCTTATACATTGTAGCCCCCTGAACAGATTTAGAATAAGAGGAAAATGGGCGTTGGCCTAATGTACTTGGGGAGATACCTGAGCCTGCTATTGGATGAAAAATCTGCATAATCTCATAAATCAAACAAAATTTTTTCTTTAATTGATATTCTTTTATGTAGGCATAATGGTAGTTCAGTAACTCGTCACTTGCTAACAGATCGCATGTGGTTGTTTTAGGAGTTTGGAAAGGGGGGGTCCGGTGCGTTCCGCTGTGACCTGAAGGAGAATCTGCTAAATGTAGGATGCAGTAATTCAGCTTTGGAGTTTCCCTCCAGCACCCTGACTATTCAGGAGGACACACCCCTCAGTGACAAGGCCTCTGGGACTGCAGACGATGTCACTCAGATAAAGCCTCAGAAACTCCATATTGTACTCAGACCAGGTACTTTCACACCCACCAGACATCACCTATAATAATGTACGCTAACAACCCTACAAGGCCAGATACATGCATCGGTACCCTAGAACTGGTTGCACATCTTTAACAGAGTATATGTAATATTTTTTCACTTAGTTAATTGGTTATATCACCCAGCACTACTTAAAAGACAACCAAGACTTAGGGACACCAATTGATCTAATTTACTCTACCATGCACTCTCCATCTATGCATTCCTCCGCTCTTTCCCTCCCAGGTGATGCTAAGCGATTCACTGTGTCAGTGAAACAGGTGGAGGATTACCCAGTGGACCTTTACTATCTGATGGATCTTTCCTATTCAATGAAGGATGACTTGGTTCGCCTTCGCACCTTGGGCAATGAGCTTGCCGTGACCATGGGCCGCACCACAAGCAACCTACGCATGGGGTTTGGAGCCTTTGTGGACAAGACCACGTCCCCTTATATGTATACCTATCCTCCAGAGGCAGTGGAAAACCCTTGCTATGGGTAGGTGCAGTGATAAGTGTTGTGTTGGTTAGTTGAGTTGGAGATTTTCTAATACTCTAATGTCCGTCCTGTTGTGTTTAACAACTTCATTTTCTCCTTCACACACATTCACATATTCAATATACACAGAATTGGAGATCAATGCCAGGCTCAGTTCGGGTTCAAGCATGTGCTGTCGCTGACGGAGAAGGTAGCTCGTTTCACTGAGGAGGTGGAGAAACAGCAGGTGTCTAGAAATAGAGATGCTCCAGAGGGTGGATTTGATGCTGTCATGCAGGCTGTGGTTTGCAAGGTATGAAGGTATACACATGCTCGCCGATTTGCAAAACTGAGTGTGCACATATATATGTTACTTGTCATATTTTTTTTTCTCTGTTCATCCATCATTAGGAGAAGATTGGCTGGCGTGCGGATGCCTCCCACCTTTTGGTATTCACCACTGATGCCAAATCTCACATCGCTCTGGATGGACGTATAGCTGGAATTGTCCTGCCCAATGATGGAGAGTGTCACCTTGATAATGAAAACATTTACAACAAAGCTACTGTGCTGGTAAAGGCAGAAATCTAAGTACATCAGTAATTCACTTATAGTTTTTGGAGTTGTTGAACAGAACCTGCTCTAACTATTTGCTTAATGTGTCTTCCAGGATTATCCCTCCTTGGCGCTCATGACAGATAAAATGTCTGAAAACAACATAAATTTAATTTTTGCCGTCACCAACTATGTGGTGCCGCTCTACAAGGTAAACAGACTGCACTGCTTGTGCCACAGCATGAATAGTTACTGATATAAGAAAACAAAAACAGCTTTCTTGCTGTCATGTCTGTCTTTCTAGAATTACAGTCAGCTCATTCCAGGCACAACTGTAGGAATGCTGTCCGATGATTCTGGGAATGTTATTCAGCTCATTGAGGAGGCTTATGCGGTAAGGATTTCCTAAACTTAGGACAATAAGTGGAACATATAAATTGATGTAATCTATTTCATCTATAAAAAAATCTCTGATAAATAACTTTATGTTGAGCAGAAAATTCGCTCTAAAGTGGAGCTGGAGCTACTGGGAGTCCCAGAAGAGTTGAATCTCTCTTTCAATGCCACCTGCCTAAAAGGAGAGGTCATCCCTGGACTTAAGTCTTGCTCTGGCCTCAAGATTGGAGACACAGTACGTATCAGTTGAGATGCTGACATCCACATCTGGTATATAAACACACAGATTGTCACAAAGACATTTCCTCCTCTTCAGGTGTCATTCAGCGTGGAGGCTCAGTTGCGTGGCTGCCCCAAAGAGAAACACAGCACTTTTACCATCAAACCTCGAGGCTTCAAGGATTCACTGGAGGTCACGGTGGATTTTGCCTGTGGCTGCAACTGTGAGGCAAAAGCTGAGGCCAACAGCTCCCTCTGTAGCAAGGGCAATGGGACCTACGAGTGTGGCGTGTGTACGTGTCACCAGGGTCGTCTTGGCCCACGATGTGAGTGTTCAGTGGAGGACTATAGTCCATCTGATGATGTCAACTGCATCCCGAAGCCAGGGAGCCCAGTCTGCAGCGGGAGAGGCGACTGTTTGTGTGGACAGTGCTCCTGCCATGCAAATGAGTTTGGTCAGGTGTGGGGCAAATACTGCGAATGTGACGACTTCAACTGCTTGCGTTTCAAAGGAGCACTGTGTTCCGGTGAGTAGATGCACTTCTTAGTCATGATCAGTTTTAGTTCTTTCTACAGTTTTGCCAACACCAATATAACATTTTCATAAAAATTAAATGGATCGGACAGCGATGAGACACAAAACTGGTCCTGGTCCTGTTGCATGATAAGGCAATGTCCATGAAAAACAGGAATGAATTCCACAACACATCAATCTTCCTCAGGGTCAAACAATCACACACTCAGACATGTAAATTAAGTACAAGCTTCAGTCATACATGTGAGATTTTTCACAACCATGACATTTTGCTCTTAGTCTTTGAATTTATTAGAGCAAAGACATTGGTGTTAAAGGGTCAATTCACCCAAATTTCCAATAAACATTTATTAATTTACCTCTGTAGTATCTTGTCATGCACATAGTATTGTGAGAATGTTGCCATGGCAGGGTTGTAATTGTTTATTACTGCGCACCACAAACTAAACACCATTTGCCTGAACTGAATCAGGTGGTGGCAGAAATTTCAAAAACTGGGCACATAAAATCGATATTTGCATGCCTGCATTTCTGCTGGGTTTCTGTTTTGTAATTTGGGTGAAGCAACCCCTCCTTTACAATGAAGTTCCCTTCCTTTTCCTTGCTCTGAATCCTCATCTGACTTTACTGAAACATACACTGGTTGTTTCCAGTCACTCTCGGTCTGTAAACACAAGTTAGTCAGTTTACATAGTGTTCTGATACTTAGCTTGACAAATCAAGAATCCACAGCCTTTTCAAAACCAATGTTTTGTCTTTGCTTGCTTGTAAATGATATGTAAATAATTGTATAATTTAGCTGCTAAACACAGTAATGCTTACAAATGATCTCAGTCCTCAGTCAGGTCTGTAAACTTGGTGGGTATACTGAGTTTGACTTTTGTTTTTACCACAACAGTGCATCATGATATAGTATCTCTCCCTATTACAAGTCTGCACAGCTCAGTGCCCAGTTACTCAATCACAGTGATAAAACTTTAAAAGGCTTTGTGATTGGGTAATTTCATGTAACAGCAGTGTGGGCCTGTGACTTTAAGGAGGGTGGCTGAGCAGTAGCACAGTAGGAAACTGTTCTTTTATCTTTATGTACATTAAGCAGAGACATTTTTAACTATGAATGCTGTGTATGATTCAAATGGGAATAAACGAGAACATGTCTTTCCTTTTTAAAAGGAGCTACCCCAGTTTAGGGCAGTCCTCAGCCTGTGAACATAGTATGTTCTCTGGTGATGTTGTTTAGGGTCTCCTCTTGGACTCTTGGACTCTCCTGGAGACAGAAATCATGTATTATCAACTAGGCTCGTGGAGTTTGAAAAACATGTACATATATATTAAACAGGGACGGTCTGATTAAAAGAATTGCATTATGAGAAACAAAGGAAGAAGGAAGGAAGCTGTCCCTTGTGATACTACAAAAAGCGTAGTAGTGCAATACTAAATCGCCTGGAGTGTAGTTTTAAGCTCCATATAGTTCCACAGCAATTGACCCTGGTTTCCAGGGAAGTGCAACATTCAGTTGATACAGGTTGTAATTCTAAAATGGTGTTTATATACTCATCACAGCTTCGTACTTTTACCATACAAAACTAAACAAAATATATTCTGGGCCCCCTGTGGGTGCCCCATGACCTAAGAAGAAGAGGGTCTTGTGTGTTGGCAAGCTGACATTTTCCTGGAAGATATAATAGAATATTTATACCAACAAGGCGGAGTTTGTAGTCTTTCTCAAGGGAGGTTACTTTTCTGAGAAACAGGTATTAAGGAACTCAGTTATGACACCCAGGGCTTGGACGCAGACAGTCACCCAACCCACCCACTGACACACAAACCATAAATGGTGTAAGACAGTCTACAGAGCTCAATTTGGGACTGCTAAGTTGCTGTGTCTCCATAGAGTCATGACGTTATTGTCTTTAAAGAATGAGCGTCCCTTGGCCCCAGCTCAATTGGAGCTACTGTGACCCAGGGCTCCAAAAAGCTCCATCTCTGTGTTATTCCCTGTGTATTTCTTCCTCTGCTGAGGGGCTGTGGGACTGGTGCAGGGCCGGAGAGCAGGAGTCAGCAAGCATAGCCCCAGGGCCCATAAATATAAGAGAAGAGAGAACAGGAAAGTTTGCATTCCTCTGCTGGCAATTTGCCCAATGTCTTTCCTCTCAAGTATGTCTCTGCTCTACACTGCACTAGATTCTGTTCCCTCTCTTCTTCTAAAAGCATAGTGTTTTAGTTTACCGTTCTGTCTTTTTCCCCTGTTTTTGTCCTGTTATCATGGAGGCCATGTTAACCTTCTCTAAAGCCCAGACATGTGATTAATGGTTTATGGGAAGGATTACTGTGCAGTCTCATGGACAGAGCTGGATGATGTAAACCTAACAACTTCCTTTTATGTGTGTGAATCAACTTTATAACTAATAAGAACAAGACGATGACTCATTCTTGTCAAGTTTAAGTGCACTACGCTGCAAAAAAATCCATTGTTACAATGACAATGTAGTTTTACAATAATTCTGGTTGACAGTATTTTTTTGGGATCTTGTTGACTGAGTAAGAAAGATTGCTCAGCGATCGCATTGCTAAGCATTAACTGGTGTCAGCACCAGTGACAATGTCTGTTCCCATTGCAGCTATAAACACTATCTAAAAGTGAAGCCGTAGTTGACAGGATGGAGACTGGGAATTGTTTCCTCAAGTTTACAACAGCGGATGATTTGTTTTGAGCTCTGGAATTAGGGACCCTTGGACCCTCTGTGATATTTCATGACCAGTCACTCCCACCGGTCTGACCCAGCTGGGCTGTGACTCACTTTGCTCTTAGTCATCCAGTGCCAAACCCTGTTTGCTTTCCTGCTAAGAACGCTGTAGTCTCTGGGGCTCTGCCTTTGTTTCTAAGGTAGCTTATTGTGTTGATATAGGTAGAAAAGATCGCCTCCAGATTCTGTCAACAAATAGTTACATCACTGTAACACTGTTCCTAGAATGACCTAGCTTTTGTGCTTTCTACACTTCAGCAGACAGATGGGAAGTGTTTGTGTGTCTCATGTTAGGAAATGGAAAATTGTTAGTGTCTACTGTCATAATAGAACATTTCCTGCCTTTGTCATAGTAGGAATGATTTAGAGGTATTAGTAATGCCCTTTGTTGAAACAGCTTTTTTTTTACTAGTACTGTTTTAAAGACAACATGTAAAAGGTTATATAAAGACGAACAGAACCGCACACAAAGCTGACTTACTTATACTTACTTAGCCTACTCATAATTAAAAGTATGTCATTAAAGTACAATCCATTACCCACTTGAGATACCATACCACTGATTGTTTTGAAATGCAGGCTAGTGCTTTGTTTTTTAAATAAACAATAATCAAACAATCGATCGATCAATCAAGTAATGTTAAGTTAACCAGCTCTAAAACATAGCATATAACAAATAACTGCACAAATAACACATTAGTAACACATTCCACCTAATACTAGTAATTACATGGTTGCAGAATCTACAAACACATCCACAGGTACACTTGTCCAAGCATGCAACATGCTTAAAGAAATACACAGGTTAATTTTGCAATTGTGTAATTTGTATTTCGTAGTTTTGTTTGCCCAGCCCCACCCATGTAATTATGGACTGTGAACATTTTTAATTTGAATTAATTCATTAAGACATCCTTTTTGATTTTTTCAGATCATGGGAAGTGTAACTGTGGGTTCTGCCAGTGTGATGCTGGCTGGGAAGGAGAAAACTGTAACTGCACCACACGCAAAGACACCTGCACATCCAGCATCGGCCTGCTGTGCACTGGCCGTGGTAAATGCGAGTGTGGGGTTTGTCAATGCACTCAACCTGGTGCCTATGGTGCAACCTGTGAGAAATGCCCCACCTGTCCCGATTCCTGTACTATAAAACAGTAAGTTCCTAACTTAGTGTTACCTCAGTATATTTCAATCAGTCTACCAAGAAATTAGTTTATAACCCATCTCATACCCAAAGTTAACATTTTGGCCTGAGGGTTTATATTCTGGGGACCAAGAACGCAAGAAATGCCAAAGAACATTTCATGTCCATTAAATATAGGATTCCTCTGGGAACCATGGATATTCATGTATACATTTATTGGAATTCAAACACTGGTTTAAAAAATACTGTACCTTGTCATGGATCAAAGTGTTGGCCGAGGAAGTCTTTTGAGCGGAGCAAAGTGGGTGGCAAAGGGCAAAGGGTCAAGAAATGATTAGAAGTAAGCCACCCTTTTTGGCTGAAAGAAAACTAAGTTGGCTGGTTGCATTCTTCACTGCACACATTACACCATAATATTCCCACATTCCAGGAAGATAACAAGCTGCTCCCACACACATTTAAATAAACTTAGGTGAGAAAGGTCGAACTTCTCTCAAAGCCACACCAGTTAGCCATCATCAACACTTGGTGTTTTTTTAGTTTATCCACCCCTACATATCAAATTGAGCCATGCACTGTTAATGTTACTAAAAAGCCTCAACAGTATACACACACTGTGTGCAGTATATTCATATGGGACTCTGTTTGCAGGCATTGCGTTGAGTGTCAGCACTTCAAGAGAGGACAGTACACAGAAGACAATAGCTGCAGTAGAATCTGCAAAGATGAAATTCAATTAGTGGATAAACTGGGTGAGAACTCCATTTTGAACCTCCTCACTACATACTTTAATGCATGCTTTGTGATCCAAAAATATTATGCACTGATAAATATTATAGATAAATTATATGAAATGACATAACATATTATGTTTGGAAATCATTTATTCATTACCCTGTTTCTTCTTCTTCTTCTTCTTATCATCTTTATTCCACAGTTTTCCATAATAGAAATGCAGTGAATTGCTCATACAAAGATGTGAATGACTGTGTGGAGCACTTCCAGTATTACGAGGATGAAAGCGGCAAATCCATTCTGTTTGTGGTAAAAGAGCCAGGTACTGTAAGAGTTTTTGTGCATGTATGAGTATTTAAACTGCCAAAAAACTGAGCCTTATAATTTAGGTACATTATTAGGTCAGCCTTTTGTCAGTCGGTTGACTGACTGACATAATGCTTCACTCAAACCCAGGACCTAGCAGTGGTTGCTTAACTTCATGAGTGTGCTATACTGATCCCCCTCCCCCTTGTCTTTCATCTCTCAGAGTGTCCTCAGGGTCCAGACATCTTGGTGGTGCTCTTGGCAGTGGCCGGAGCCATCTTGCTATTGGGCCTTGTTGGCCTGCTCATCTGGAAGCTGCTGGTCACCATTCACGACCGCAGAGAGTTTGCCAAGTTTGAGGAGGAGAGAGCCAAAGCCAAATGGGATACGGTGAGAAAAAATTATAATTAAAGATCCCCTCCAGGAACATGTTAAGACATATATACAAATAGTCTGTTTGGAAAAATAATGTTTATCTGATAAATTGTTTTTTTTCTACAAAAAAGTATAATTTCCAGATTAAAATACTTAAAAGGTTTTCCTGCTAGGCATAAGATGTCTCCTACTTCACTGTTAAGTCTATTCTCAGTGAATGAAATAATTGTCACTGTGAGACTTAATTAAACAGCATTACCTCTATTTTCATTTCCCAGGCTAACAATCCTTTGTATAAAGGAGCTACGTCCACCTTCACCAATGTAGCGTACCGAGGCAACTAACAACTAAATCCAGTGAGAAAAACTCAGGGGTCAACGACAGAGATGGAATGTAGTAGCACAGAAATGGATTAGAAGATCCTTTACACTGTCATATGACCGACTACTGTAGCTGAAAAGACCACATGATGTAATAATACTGTATATAGCTGTCAATTTACAGTAAGGGAAACTGCTTCTGAAAATCTGTCACTTTTGTGTTCTTTTTAGTAGGCTCGTCAACCATTATGATGTTTGTTCTATAAGTTTAGTTTTGTTCACATTTTAAAATAGAAAAATTGACATTTTTACTTCCTCTTCAGTGTCCACCATGCTTGATGTATTATCTAAAGCCTTGTTTTTAGAAAATAGGGTTATGTTCATCAAAGTCATTTGCTTTTGTGCAGCTGCAGGCTACTTTAAAGTTTATTTTTTACTAAAATGAAAAGAGCAGTTTCTAACAGCAAAATGTCAGTGTACATAAAGTATGTACCATAGAATTTGAATATATTATTAAAACATTTTTCATGTATATGACATGATCAATTCCCTCTTGATAATATAAACATGTTTGTCGTAATGATTTTGACATTAATGCAGCACTCTGTGTGGTTACAATTAACTATAAAAAGGAGTAAAAAAAACTTATGTGAAAACAATATAGACCATGAACATCACTGTAAACTGTTACGTACGTGTTTCTTTCTGACTGCATCATCACCTGTTTTTGTGTTTGTTGGGCTTTTTTATTGTTCATTTTATTTGTAAAATTGTATGAACAAATTGTGTTCTATCTTGCCAATTGTGTGATATATTTCAATTTTCCACTGACCCGGACTGTGTTAAACTGAAATGCAATATTCCTCATTTGTGTATATGAGCAGATTGTATTGTACATCAAATCATAGGCTTCTAGCCATAATGACATGTAGTCGGTAATAACAAACAAACCTCCTCTTGCTCATTTTTAACCACTATATGAAAGAAAAGAGTGCAATGTGAAGTGTTTTTTGGTTGTACAGCTCTGATCGTCCCTCAGGGCACAGCCTGCTCATTGCATAGATACCTGGTTTCCGGTTTTCTCTGGTTGTTTTGCAGTTTCTAAATATACCTGTGGTCTTTCTCTCATAGTTCACAGAGGAAATACATACATATACATTATACTTGACTTGAAAGTTATTTGAGATTCATATTTCAGATCTGTAGCAATGTTAACATTTCTGAAATAGAATAATGTATTTCACTTTTTGTTTTCACTCTGTGTGACGGTTGGCTTTACATTTTTTTAAACATAATAAATGTCATTAATGCCCAGTGTGATTCCATTGAGAAGCTGAATGTTTCATTCTGCCTCCCAGCTTCATTCTAAGAGCAAGTTACTACACAAACACTCTAAAAGTCTAAATGTAAATACTAAATATTATTAAACAAAGCACGGAAAGATATATTCTCAAATGCACTGCCATCAGCAGCAGGTGAGTAAAAAAGATTTAGAACTTAAGTCACACAGTCACAAAATACTGCACAAAAGCTATTTCTTGTCCACACAACATTAGAAGAAGAAAACCCCACAATAACATAAAACAATTAAAATAAAAAGCAGAGTTTAACATTTTCACTGTTGATATTTGGGATTTTTTAAAGAAACAGTTAAGGTCTTACATTCAGTCTTACAGTCTGTGCACTTATGGTGTCTAGTCTGATGCAGATTGTGGTCATGAACGTTTGGCACCACATCCTACAACATTTCTGTCACAACATCCTGTCCATACCATCATTAGTCATTAGTAGTCCAGCCACTGTGCCCTGTATCAAATAGTGTCAAATACAGTTTGTTGGCCACTGCTGTCTTCTGCTTAACACACTACAACACCATTTTTCTTCTAGTCTTTATATTTGCAGTACCAGAGAGTTATTTTTTTTATCTACTAGCTCAGATCAAATATTTCCTACCTTCTGCCTTAAAACTGATCACAACAACATGGTCAACTAATATTTTTTCTTAATCTCAACTGAATCACATGCCAAGGTTATCATTTGAGGTATGCAGGAACATACAGAAAAACTGCATTTCAAGTCTGTTAATCTCCTCCTCTAGGCTAAAGATAGACATTTGTTAAGTGACATAGGCTACCCTACAAAGAAAGTGCAAGAAAATACTGTACTAGATAATAGGTTCCACATCAGCCATGCATTTGTGAATCATAAAACATCATGACAAATGTTTGTCACAAAAATCAGTCTACAAATGCATAATGACCTAAATGTCAATTTGAATATTTAACATATCTGCACAGGTACGTGAGAAACGGTTGTTTTTCGGTTTGTTTGTTTGTTTATTAGGACAGGTAAAAACGTTAGTCTATACAGACTCAGCTCATTAACTGTTGATCTGTGCAGCTTTAGTCCAGGCATCCTCCTCAAACACGTGGGTCAGACTGAACACCAGCGGATCATATAAAATAATATTGGCATATGTCTCCCTCTAGTGTATAAACACTCCACTGAACAAATGCTGCAGCACACCTGTCGGCCTAGACATCGAGCCTGGTTTTGTGTAATAATTGTACTGTAATACATCCTATAGTACAATGTACAAAGAAGGATGGTAGTCTTGCATTGAGTTCAGTGGAGTTTTATGATGTTGCTTGCATATCCGGACAACGAAGCATGTCTCATTCACGTGCTCCGCAGAGCATCGCATCTGATTGTGCCTTGGACCTAGTCTGTAGGCCTAAACCCCTAAGCCTGTACTAGTCGGTCTTGAGATGCAATTGATAAAGCAGTGCTGTACAAAATTGTAGAGAAAATAACAGTAAAATAGGCCTCCAGTTATGCGTGAGAGACCAGTTTTACATAGCAAATATTCAGAACCAGAACCAAAACCAATTAGATAATCACCATCTCCATCTTCAAAAATGCGTTGCATCCATCACTTGCAACTTTAGGACTTTATAATAGATGTATTTATATTATTAGTCTCATTTAAAATACGTCCGACAGTCGTGAACGCAACACGATTAGATGCGCGTCCTTCCTTCCGTCGCGTCAGGCCGAACATGGCGGCGCCCCATGCCGTGGTCGGAGTGGAGGGAGGCAGCAGTGAAACAGGTCTGATCCAGGCAGATTCAGCCACTGGAGAGGTGAAGAGACCTCAGTTCGGGACACGTTTCCTCACAGACCCGCGGCAGGTCTTCCAGCACAACGCATGGTCGGTAACTTATTCCAGAAACATAATGAATGTTGGTGTGCATCTCTGTCAGAGCCAGTGTCTCCTGGCTGGGACATTATCATCACTCACATGGCTATTACATTAGTTGGATGGATGGTCTTTTGCTTAATTGATTGTAGCTAATAATAAGCGAATGTAAAAGCTGTTATTAGTAGCGATAACATGTCACTGATTGATCGATGTACAGTTTGTTGATTTGATAGGTTTAACAGAAAAAGGGTGTTTCTAAGGCAATGTTTATGATATTTAAAGCCTTATAACATATTCCCAAGTTATATAGTATCATTTGAGCATAGAACTTGTTTTTAAATAATACTATAATTTAATTTAAATGCATCATATTTAGATTAAATTGTGGTGTCTAGCAGTATTACTCCACTTTGTCTAAATGTAGGTTTCTTCCTTTTCCATTCAATGTTTTTGGGTTATTGATTTTGTTTTGTTTGTTGTGGCAGATTTTCTGTAACCTTATTAAGGGTCTATGATACTGGGTGTTGTATGCTGTACAGACAGTAAAGATAAATTTGTGATTTGGGGCTATATGAATAACACCAATTTGACATTCTGAGTAAAATGTGAATACATATGTCATGTAATGAGTTTTTAATAACATATATTAATATTGTTTGAAAACTGCTTCTCATGCAGTTAATCTAAAGAATTTGCTCTCTTGCAGATCCTAATATATAAGATGTGATCACCCATCCTGAGTTTAATTTTGTCCCTGTTTCTCAGCCCTATCAGAATATCACATGAAAACCTTGCAGTATCTCAAGATTGTAAATGTTTGTGTTTGTGTTTCTGTCACCACATCACTTCTTCCACACTGGACAATCACGTTCTGTCGTCAACAGGGACAATGTGGAGTGGACCGAGGAACAAGAAGCATCTGCTAAGAAGAAAGTGTTAGAAAACAGTCAGCCGCTGCCCTCAGAGAAACAAGGTTGCATTATTGTTTCTTATACACATAAATGTCATAGTAAGACTGGCATCAAGGATCAGTAACAGAACTCTGTTTCTAATCAGGAGGACCGCATCCCTCAACGTTGTCTATGCATTCAATTCCACTTCATTTGAGTTTATGTGATTATTGTGTTAAAAGATACATAAATTGGTTTTGTTGATGAATATTTATGTTGTGCACTAATTGGCTTATAGTGTTGAGACAATAATTCATTTTTGACAGTTGTCAAATGTTTTTAGGTAAACCGCTGAAATGACATGGGATGACTTTCACTTAAAAAATGATCATAATCAATTGTATCCTTTGCTTGTGCATAGTGCTTGTCTTACTGAGTTGTATTAAGTATTTTTGTGGTGATTTGTAACCACGCTGAGATGTGCCAGACTTTAACTGCCTTATCTTTTTTGCAGAGGAATACGACTGCCGGGCGAATGAGTACTGGAACGATTTTTACACAATCCATGAGAATCGTTTCTTCAAAGACCGTCACTGGCTCTTCACAGAGTTCCCAGAGTTAGCCCCGCAGTGTAGCCTTAATCATGAGTCCCGCCTTGAGGTCTCTGGCATAGATGATAGTCAGAAGGATAGTCTGGACCAAGAAGAACAAAGAACAGAAGTTGCAGCTGTGTCTCACACTGATGGTGACATTCCTGGATCATCTGCCACTTATCGCATTCTGGAGGTGAGAGATTCATTTGAAAGCAAGTTAGTTCATCTTTAAGTAAAATCTCTGCTGTTATATTAACTTCTACCAAGGAAGTTGTTTTGAGTTCTGTTGTCTGCCTGTTAGTTATTTAAACAATTTGTTGACAGATTACAGTGGAAGTTAGAGTTTTTGGTGAATTTTATAAAGAAATTCTTGATTAATTGCTTAAAATTGCTAAATTCCCAATAGTTTACTGCTTAACTGGAATTAATAAACATATGATACACATCCCATGATTGGCTACTAATTTGATGCAAATTTAGTTCCAGATGCAGATAAAGCATTTCTAATCTTTCATCATCTTTAGCTGTTTACTAAAGAGTAAAAAATGAAAAGTTTTTAGCTATCCAGCCTTCCTCATGTCACTAATGAAGGCTGCGTGGCTGCAACACAAAGAAATTGCCTTTTCTACTGAATTTACATGGATCACATGGTGGTATCCCTTATTATTTTGCCAATTTAAACACTTCTCAACATTTACCAAGGTTTGTGCAACCAAGCTGGAGAAATGTATTTTGTGCAGTCTCTGGTGTTTGTCAGGATTCATTCTGTTGAAACAGACTTTGCTACTAAAGGTGTTAATGTTTGACATTGAGTGCAAACTGGAGTAAACCAAATAAATGCTACATGAATTCATGTTTATCCGACAGGTCGGCTGCGGGGTAGGCAATACAGTTTTCCCAATTCTGAAGACCAACAAGTAAGTCCAGTTAAGGCATTTACATGGCATTACAAGTCATGTTTGATAAATCCTGTTATGTACTTCTGTCTTATGGTGAGCACGTAAAGATGTAACTGCAGCGTTGCTTTTTGCAGTGACCCAGGACTCTTCGTTTACTGCTGTGACTTCTCCAGCACTGCTGTGGAGTTAGTCAAGGTGAGAGGATGTGAATAATGAAAGCATGATGTGTTGATAGATGTAGTCATTTCCAACAGTTGTGTGCTAATTGATGAATTAACACTGTTCTCTTGTCATCAGACTAATCCAGAATACGACCCTGAGCGCTGTTTTGCTTTTGTTCACGACTTGAGTGATGTGGAAGCTAATTACCCCGTCCCCGATGGAACCCTTGATGTTATAGTGCTAATCTTTGTCTTATCAGCGTTGCATCCCGAAAAGTAAGAACTTCTTTGTCTGTCGTCTTCTTTTCTCTTTGGTTTTCATTCAGTGTGAGTCATTGGATATAGCACTGGTTGTCTTTAAAGTATCACCCTGTCTCAGGATGCAGGCCTCCATCCGTAGATTAGCGCGGCTGCTGAAGCCCGGGGGAGTGATGATGCTCAGGGACTATGGACGCTACGATATGGCACAGCTTCGCTTCAAGAAAGGTTAGTCAGGTTGAAGTCCAGTGAGGTTGAAGTCCAAATAGCTGTGTCTTATTTAAAGTTTGGAATTTGTTGTATAA